TGTTTAATAAAAACTTTCCATTCTACACTTAACTTTTATTTAATAAAGAAACCATAATGGTCGTGGACAAAGTATAGTATTAGACTCGCAATTTATGGCCATTATTGGCTACCATAAATTGCTCGTTTAATAATATACTATTCTACAAAAACTACAAAGAAAAATAACTTTTTTTTATAAAGCAGTCAAAAATATGATGAAAAAAAAATCAATAATTTTTATAAATGGGCAAAATTTTTATTTTTCTTTTGGTTTTGTCTGACTTTTTCGAGGATTTCAAATCTCTGTTTGCATAATTAGGAGTATAAAAAATTCTGAGTCTTATAAATAATTTAATGGTGTACATTTTCGTAAATTGTTGGCAAGGTATTCGTTGGAAATTCCAGGTTTAGTTGATAAACTATCAAATAGAGATATAAATATTTTTTCTAATTTGAAAATATGAAAGAGAAATTTTTCGCTGGGAGATTTTAAATTGCCAAACACCTTTTCTTCAGAGTCGTATGCTTTAAAATGCGTTAACAAGTTAGAATTGTTAAGTAAATTGCATTCTTCTGAGAAATTTACGCAAATTTCGCAAGAGTGGATATGTAATGATTTTTTGATTAAATAGCCACATAGTTAAATGTATTTTGAGTGGTCACATTTGGCTCCCTGTATTCACATTCAGAAATCGTTATTGCCCCAACTGATTGTTTTGAAATATATTTAATTTTCATTAAGCAGAGAACTTATTTTCCTAAGGAAAAAACGAATCCCGGGATTCCTTTCCAATGTGTGCCCCACTGCCGCTAGTGCCCACGAGCCGCCACTGCTTACACCCATCATATTACTTATCTTCTTAACAGTATCGTTAACAGAAAAGATGGATTTTCCATTCTTAGGCAATTATAAACATTGCTTACAAATATTCTCTCGTTGCCTGAAAACGCACACTATACGTTTCACAAGTGTTACCTTTGAACTTGGACCACACTGCATTTTTCAATACTACTATTAACCGAAAATAACCACAACTTCTTACTGAAATAGATAATATAGAAGGCTAATCAAACAGGGTAGGTAAGATACCCATACAGCACACATTATTTCAGAAGTGTTTCAGAAATATTTCAAACGTTTCAAGCACACGTTTCCGAAATATTTCTGAAATATTTTAGTTAAATATTTCACTGAAAATGTTTCTGAAACATCGTTTACATGTTACACAAAAGGTTTCTAAACGGGTTATGTTGTAAAAGGCCAACACTTTACCGGCCGGCCGAGAATTTCTGATTTGTAAGAAGAAGAAGAAGAAGATGGGATATGTAGTTATTTTATTTCTTGTCCAGCATACCAGCCAGATACAACCCTATATGCTAAATAATTATAGAGTGGAGTTGTCGGTTTTTGCCATTTCCTTTTTTTTGTTATTTATACGTTGTGCTGTTGTTATATGGGAAGCAGAATATGTCTTTATTAGAAATTAAGGTTAGTCCTACACCAGTTTTATTTATTAGTTCTACAGCCGATTGAAAGGCGGAGCTTCATGTTTTATTTAGGCATGAGTGTTTGTATAAATCCTTTTTTACTTATCTACAATTTGTTTCAGATTAGTGCATTTAAAGGAATTCGTGGAAATGAAGCAATTTGCCAGCTTTGGGGATCTGCTACTAAAAGTACCATCCAAGTTATTCAACATTTTCAGAATAAAGTATTAAAGAACATAGTCGATGCACCCTGGTACTGCTACAATACTGATCTTCATAAGGACCTTAAAGTAAAGACTGTTGAAAATACAATACAAAAATTTGCCAGTAGTCACCAACAAAGACTGCTCCAACATGGAAACCTTGAGATTATCCAGCTCAACAATGCCAATCTAATAAGAAGACTCGAGAGAACCAAGCCTTTTGAGTTAGTTTCCGGCTTTAAAATGAAAATCTGGAAAAAGCTCAAACCCGTCGATTTTTAATTCTAGGGGGAACGACTTGACTGGTTTTTTCATCCATGTAATTTCAACCCTCTAACAGGGGGAAGCACAACCCCCTGTTTTTAAATAGAGGTGAGGGGTGTTGCAATACCCCATTTTGAAGATCTCATCGAGTACTATTTGACCCTAAAACTTCTCGTCAAAATTTATATAACACATCGAAAGGTAACCATCTTGCTGATTCACTAGCCAAGAAAGCAGCCAACCAAATACTTTTGGACCTGGCCCTTCTATTGGCCTGACAAAATCGGCAGTGACAGAGACCTAATTAAAGAACATTCCCTTGCGAAATTTAAGGAAAGATGAGATGAAACAAGAAACTGCAGAGTTGCCAGAGAGCTCTTAAGTTATCTTGACTATGGCTAGACAGAATCTGCGCCTAGTCACAGGCATTCTGACTGGTCATTGCCAAGTACGGAAGCATCTCCATATCATGGGGCTGTCAGAATCCGTACTTTGCAGAGGGTGCGAACAAGAAGATGAGACCATCGAGCATATCCTTTACGATTGCTCGACGCTCTCATTTATTAGAAGATTTGTGTTCGGCGAGTATCGGCTAACACCGGCCGATATAAGATGAGAAGCACCATGAGGATGATTTCGATCACCGACTTTAGTTCTGTGAAGTGGTCTGTGAAAATATTACCAATAATCAAAATTACAAATTCGATATGTGTTTTTCGGATGTGTTCATTTTACCTTAACGGCATTTGTAAATAGCCATAACTATCGGTATTGATCAGCATCCCCAAAAACTAAATGTTTGGGCAGGTATTCATGCAAATCACATAATCGGTCCTTTTTTTATACCCGGTAATCTCAATGGCGAAGTGTATCTGGAATTATTACAGAACGCTATTTATCCAGCCCTCGTGCAAGTATTGGAGAATGAAAAAGACCATCATACCATCATTTTTCAACAAGATGGCGCACCACCTCATTTCGTACAACCTGTCCGTCAATTTTTGGCAAAGCTGGATTGGAAGAAGGGAGCCACCCAGGTCACCTGATCTGAATCCACTGAACTTTTTTTCTATAGAGTCATCTAAAATCTAAGATTTACGCTACCCAGTCCGAATCACTGGATGATTTGCGAAATCGTATAATTAATAAATGTCGTCAAATTAAACCAGACATGTTGCATAATGTACGGAAACGTTTTAAACAAAACTTATTTTACTGTATAGAAGTGAATGGTGGCCATTTCCAGCATTTAACAAACTAGTCACAGAAGTAAATAATCTTTTTGTTTGTTATTAAGTAGACATTTTTTCCACATTATCTCTTTTATTGTTTTAGGGTCAGATAGTACTCGATGAGATCTTAAATATGAGGTATTGCAACACCACTCACCTTTATTCAAAATCAGGGGGTTTTGCTTCCCCCTGTTAGAGGGTTGAAGTTACGTACATGGATGAAAAAACCAAACAGGTTGTTCCCCCTCGAATCAAAAATCGACGGGTTCGAGCTTTTTTTCCCGATTTTCATTTTAAAGCCGTAAAATTGGGGTGCAAAGTTTTCGTTGGCCCACCCTGTATATACCTATAATAAATTATTTAATAATTAAATTTGTATTTTCATCATGTAAAAGATTTATTTTTAGTTGAGTAGATAATTAGAAAAATTGAAATTGTTACTTTTTCTATTAAATTAGCTTTTTGTACACTGCAATTTATATTCTCTTAAGCTTTTTGTACCCTTTTCATGTAGGTATTACTTTTGTAATCTTTTTTGATGAATAAAGATATTATTATTAGAATATTTTAAAATGTACTCAAATTCACGTCCCTAAAATTGTTAATTCTCTACTTATTTTTAACCTCAACATTTGTATAGCGACAAAATACCTAGAAATAAATTATGATAAGTGTCCGTTAAATCTTCAAAATCATTTTTACGATGTACTATATACATTATTATTCATTTGTTTAATAATAATAATAACATACTCAAGGTAACTAGCTCAATTAGTTTCGATAACACACACGTTTCATATCGACGCACACAAGTAGGTAGATAAATATTATACCTATGATTTTTTTTATTAAAACCTTTAGCAAACTTCACATTTACCTTGATCGTACGTCACGTCCACGTCACGGGAAGCCGAAAGGAAAAAACATAAGTGAAATTCCATGCGCCATTTTTTTTAACGTGACGTCACCGCCACAGTATAAACAAGTTTCGAATTGAAAGAAAGAACCTTAACAGCGGCGTGACGTCACGGCCTTTCCAAGTAAATAGGTTCAAGGCCTTCGGAATAATCCGTATTGTCGGGTTTAATGCAGTAGGAAATTCCCTAGGCAGGTAACTTCTCAAGTGTAAAATAAATATTCCATTATCTGCTGTTGCAACCGACACTTACCCATTCATAATGTCACGTAGGTATTTATTTAACTGAGTGGTCAATTTTAAATCCTTATAAAATTATATAGTGAAATACCAAATTATTTGATATGGCTCTCATTTTTATTTTAATTAAAATTTGTTCCTTTCTAATTGATGCGCTTACCTACTTACTGAAGCTTTTCGAATACCTAGGTATTCTACATATTTAAATAATCCTTGCAGTTAGGTATCTACATAATTGGTTTAGAAGGATGTCTTAAAAATATTTGACATTGGTAACGCCATAGTAACGCCTATTCGTAATTAACGTGTTCTTTAGGTGACACTTTCATTTCTACTTGCGTCAGATTATTTCTCAGAAAGTGACGCAAGAAATGTCAATTAGTTAACTGTACTTTTTATTTTTAATGGGAATCAATGTCTCATTTTATCAAACCTAACAGGATATGAGCGTCCCTTTCTAAATATGCGTCTAGGTCAAATAGAGGATGCATATCTAGTAAATTAGTATTTTTGACTAAAATCAAATTAAAACGTTACTTATCAATATTTTTTTAAACATTTACCACAAATTAAAACATGAGAAGCAATTTAATGTACTTTAATTACTTATTTTCATATTAAAGACATTTTTTAATTTCCTTTTTTAGTACCTGAAAAGAGAAAAAAAAAACTAAAATTCAATAAAAAAATGTTTATTTTAAACATATAGGTACCACGTAATATTAATAATATATACAAGAATAAAACACTCTTAAAACAGAGCTATACACTTTTCAATTATATACAAATATAGCGTCAGCAACCATGAACAATTCAAAAAAAAAAATAGGAAGCCACCCTTCTCTACAAAAGTCCAGGTAGAAAAGAAACCACTACCTAAGAGCATATCCGGTAGGTACCCAACGAACATGGAATGTATTCACACAGAGCAGATGGCCCCCAAAAGGACAGACAACTTTTTTAAACTGCCATGGTCACGACGGTCTCATGCATCCGCTTATTATTTCAATTATTTAAAAATTTAGTTAACAAACATTTCTCACTATCACAATGGTCTCGGCTTGGCGCAATTGCGACGATTCTCTTCACAAAAATAATAAATTAAGTATCACAAAGACAGAATAATTAAGAAAAAAAAAACGGGGAAAATTAATTTCACTAAAAGATTTGAGATTGCGAAGAAAATCGGTTTCGTTGTAGAGATCGTATAACAACTGCGATATAGTCTATAAAATTGACCTAAAAAACACTTAACTAGTCTAATTACACAGTCATGGCTATAAACTGTCTTTGTTGTAAACTGTCCGGCGTGTCTTTGGCTTGCGCCGAACACAAATCCGGCGTCGACATGGACCTGTTGAGTTTCCCATCTCCCATACTAAAACTAAATATGGACACTAATGACGTAATGCGATCAATCTCCATTGACGAACCAGTTGATTCTTGCTGCCTCTCGGCGGTGATTTCTTTACTCACGCTGTCCGATAGTAAAGTGGCGTTATCCAGAAACACCGAATCGTCATTGTCGTCCTCTTGCTTGCTTTTCTTCGGTAGGATTGATTGGACGGCTTCTTCGGTCTCCCATTCCGCCACCGCACGACGTCGTTTCAACGACGGCGAATTACTACGTTCTTTCAGCACGTTCGAGGATTTATCCAAGTCTAAATACGTTAGTTCCGAACTGTAAGGAGGGTGGTTTTCTTTATTCTGATTTTCGGAACACTTCACACAGGTCGGTTGTAAATATTCACTCGATGACGACTCTTGGATTGTTTCCGACGAAGCACTCGATTCTAACCCCGCTTCCTCGGCCGTCAACCCCACTAAATCGTCCTGTTGCTGCGTTATAACACTCCTGGATTGTACAGGTGTAGGCGGTTGATAATGCACCATGTTATACGCTTCTTCCATGAATATATAGCGTGCTTTTTGTAACACAGTCGCAACAAGTAAGTTCTTGTGTAAACTCACGCCGCCACGATGCGATCTGCTCTGCGCGATTTTCGTCAGAGAGATGCCGATTAATCTTTCAGCTTCGCTTGCCATCGTACGTAATCAAAACTGTTCCAAAACACAAACACACTGCGTCGTATAATGCGCGTCCGAACTAACTAACTACGCTCTTGCTCTAGCTCGACCACTTTCGACTAAAATGCAGAGAAGCCAACGATCACATATACTTATAGCTTCTCTTCGTGACGTCACAACCTACTTTCAACGTGTCGTTCACCAATGAGACGCGTCCTTGCCGAACCGAGCCGGGGTCGGCCGATCAAGCGGTGAGCGATACTGGTTCGACTCTTTGAGCTCATTATCTTCGTACGCGAGCCTTCATTTTGGCCTTTATTAACGGTTACGATAGCGTTCAATGGTAGCGGAAGTTGACGTCGAAAAAAAAAATCATCTTGTGTATACGCAAGCATCGGAGATTTCTTTGTCTGATATCTGCCTACTTACTTAATCGTATTAACGAATCATTTATTCCACACGGTGCACACATATTGTTTTATTTTAGCATTTTTTGAGCATTTCAATATCTATAAGTGCGTCAGTAATGATTCATAGGAGTGATTTGTTCGAATAAAACCACATTTCCTATAAAAAAAAAACGATACTAGGTATTACAATAAATATCAATAGTTTTATTTGCAATTATCGAATAATACTAAAAATAAAATAATAAAAACCATTCTCCGTGAATAACAATTATCATCTTAGTGCTTAATAAAAATAATGTAATAAATAAAAAATTACTGCAAAAAAATTCTTTGCGATAGCAAAATCGATTTAATAATTGAAAAGACCCTACCATTCGGCAACCCACATCTCTACGTTTTGTAAATTGGGTTGCCTAACTTGTTCAGTAGTGGCATTTGACATACCTCGAGATTCTGCCATTAATATTTTAATGTATATAATAAATTGAATTAACAACTGGAACATCATTTTAATATCTTAACGTATTTGAGATTAATAACATACAGGTCTACTACAAAAGAATAATCGGGTTTTAAAAATATATATTTCAGAAAGTATATTACAGATTTCAAAGTAATCACACATCTACAGAAAGGGAATATATTCAAGTTTTTGATTAGAAATGTTCGATGTGAGCTCCTCACGTCACACGACATACATCAAAACGATACTATACTGTTAATAGCAGTAGCAATGCGTTCTTGGAGTTCATCCAGTATTGTTGGCAGTGGTGATAAACCATATCTTCAATGCACCCCCAAAGAAAAAATTGCACGGTTTAAGATCGATAGACCTGAAAGGCCACTCGAACAATATCAATATCTCCCAGTTGCATAGTCGCCATTTTGCATGCTGAGGTCGTGACACTACTTGGACGTGTAAAAGCGACATTCACAAGTACGCATTTTAAACTTGGTCATTTTTCCTTTCTGGTGATTGTCATTTGATATTTATAACTGTAATATTTTCTGAAATATACATTTTTAAAACCCGACGATTCTTTTAAAGTAACCCTGTGCAACAGAATCCAATAATCCCCATGTTGTTATCACTAAGATTGGGCAAAAAATTAGTTTTAATACCCTCATAGTAGGTATAACCGCAATTTTAAGTAGTAATACTTCGATAATACTCATGAAAAAGGCTTTGACTTCCGCAATAAAATCTGTAGATTCAGTAACAATTAAAGGAATGTAAGTTCTATTAATCTCATTATCTCGCAAAATAAAATAAAAAAATGGAACTATATGGAGATTCACAAATGAATTAGAACATTTCAGGCGTATGAATAAAAGTCGGCCATCAACATTACGCAATATTTCGATAACAAAATACGCATTAGATAGTGCCAAAGATAAAGCAAAAACGAATCAGATAAAACAGATTTAAAATTTAAAGAATACAAAGACTAAATATTATACCCGTCAAGATATAGTGTAAAATTTTTTGTCAGTTAAAATCATTATTTGTTTTTGCCTGCTGATACTACTGATACCTGTACAGAGTTGTACTTTAACAAGCAAATATAATTTAAAATCAAAAGGATTTACTGATTTAATTTTTTATTTATGAATTCTTAAAAATTAATAGAACAATTATGTTTGTATGCGGCATATATTCGTTTTCAACCTTTATTACATGGTTTATAGCCTTTCTCCAGTTCTCAGAGGTAATAATTGAGAACTTTTTCATTATAAGTTTTACAACGCTGTTGGGCTTTTTTGGTAAAGTATTATTTATTTTTACTTGTTTTTTAAGTTGGGTCCATAATAGTTCAATCGGGTTCAAAACACAGTAGTAAGGGGGTAATCTTAACACATTATGACCATTTTTGGGCCTTCGTATAATGCTCTTCAAAATATAAATCCTCTTCAATTAAACATTTTTTGATGTCTTCTTTGGTAGAACATTTGGTTGGAATCTTACAAATTTTTCTTTGAACCAAGACTCAAAAAGATTTCCTTCGATAGCTTGGTGATAATCTAAAGAGTTATCTTTAATGTGTTTTGAGCTTAACAATAATGCATCATTTACCCAGTCATCTTCTCTATCGTAGTGTAGTATGCAAATGTGTTTACCTCGAGAATGGGGAACTACCGTTTTACATTTCCAACTATCATTTGTCCAGGCTTCACGAACAGTATCGCCTTCTTTTATTGCGATACTCCAAAATTTTCGATATATATTCGTTTTTAACTTTACTAAACGACTAGATTCCATTATTGTTTGTCTTTTACTCACTTTTTATATCGAAAACCATGTTTTTTTTTTAATTCTTCCAAGAACAAACCTCAAGGACATGTTTCTTTTTTAATTCTGCTAGAATACCTCCAAGATTTGGCATGATGTTTAGTATGTACATACTGTAATTGTTTCACATATTGGCGCTAACTGATGTGAATTGATTAGTATGGAATTGCCTGAATTTATTGCCTTGCCGGATCTAGTTTTATGATTTTGTATACTGTAGCCTGAGGAGTACCTATTTGTTAGAAACACTGTTTCCTTGATAGCATCTTTTGAGGGCATTCCTCGACTACAAAGCCGGTTAAAACCAGTTAAAATAACATTTTTAGCGTCTTCTGGTAAATGTTGCCTTTTGAGTTTAACTATGTAACTTATATTTTGCGAAATAGTAGAACATCTACCCAATCTGCAAACTGACTTGTTGATGGGTGATCTTGTTGTCATGGTCGCCACATATCGTACAATTCAAAAACCTTTTATCTTGAATCTTGCAGAATACAAATATACTTCTGATTGAAATTAATATACAATTTCAAAATTTAGAAAGAATCAAAAATATATCAAGTCTGGTTATTAACTTGGACTGCTTTATTAAATTTTAATACAGTCAGCTTATTTTATAAAATAGTCACCTAAACAGAAAGTGTGATAAGAATATGCCTATTTAGAAAAAAGTTGTTTTTTTTTTTAGTGGTATAAATAAATACGTACCTACTTTTTCTGAGAATTGCAGATTATAGATAATAGATATAAAATTGAGATTTTCCTTTGAAAAATATAAATTATTACTAGGCATTTTTCATTTTGTACTGAAAATTAGATATCTATAATGCGGATCTTAATAATTTCTTTCCAGTGTAAAGTACTTACTTATTTTTAAGCTGCTGATACCAATTCCCTTATATTTTGACCGGAATAGTACTACAACTGGATTTTATTACCATGTGAACTCGAGATTACAATAAATTTAAACCTTAGCAAAATAACAATAGCCTTCCAAGTCAATTTATAATAAAACATGATGAAAAACAAACCTGGTAAAGATATGCACCTAGCAGACTCTTTGTCAAAAAGTTTTGGCACAAATGGTAACTCTATGGCAAAAAAATACAAATATTGGATTGGCTTTGTAAACAAAAGCCACTCAATAATTTGTCAGTTATTCGAAACTGCATCGCAATGGCTTATAATTTAGTTGGACAGATGCCTAAAGCTCAAATAGTTCAACACTTTTTGAAAATCAAAAGGTGTCGCGAAGAACCTTATATCGTGCGATAGCAGAATGTAAGGAAGGTTTATAACACAAAGCACATAGAGGTTCCACGTGAACGACCAAGGTCAAAATCAGATGGAGCTGCTGGTGAAATTATGGAGGAAGAATCCAAAGTTATTATTTTATATAAATAAAAATTTTCTTGGTGTATTCGGTCATTAATTTTATTTTATATCGTTAGCACAGCACAACATACCCAAGCAGCACACATTAGTATAACTTACGTATTTTATACGTAATACTCGTTTAATTTTGGTATTGGTTGATTTCGTATACGTTTACAGTTTACTATTATTATACATACCGTGTTTTAAACGATATATTATACGTTTTTTATATACATCGTATGGTATATAATTGTAAATTTTTCTACGTTTAAATATATTTAACAATATACGACTATTTTTAGTTTGCGATGAACTATTTATATACAGTGGGCCTAAATGTACGTTTAGGTTTATTTAAATTAAATTCGTATAAATTTACATAATATTACAATATGTGTTCTTCGTTTATAATTACCGTTTAAATTTCGTCTTGGTTGATTTTTTAAACGTCTACCATCTACCATTTTTATACTTAACGTTTTTTAACAGATAAATTAAACGCTTTTGTTTGTTTAAATATAATAAGTCACATTAAACGCATATTACCAGTTTACGATAAACTAGTAGACATAAGTAAATAATATGTATATATTTAGATTTATTTAAATTAAAAGCTCATAGATATATTTGTTTACATTATATTAATATGTTTTTAATTATGTTACCTGTAATACTTATAACAAATTCCCCATACACCCGGAACTATTTTTAGATGGCGGATGGAGGATGACGTACTAGTGGTACGGTCTTTTCTCATTTCTACTCATGCGTATGTGTAGTATTATTGTTCAGTGTAGGGAATGATTTGTGGCAGAGCAGGTTCGTCCATTTTTATTTGTGTACACGTTTTGTTGCATTTGGCGTCCTGGCTTTTACAATATTGATTAAAAGCATAGGTAAGTTTCTATTAATGTTTTGATTTAGCTACTACTCTAATAATTGTTGCATTTTACAACAACTACTGTTTTATAGGTAGGTACAGAGCGTAAAATGCTTATAGAAACTCCAAAACAACCTTACTTGTGTTTTTTTTATTTTTATGTGTATTTTTCAGGCTACCTAGTTATTCCAAGCATACTTATTTTCCTTTTTTTTGATCAGTTGTTTTTATTTAATAAAATGTCTAAAATAACCCTGTCTCGGCGTCATCTACGTAGAAAAATAGCACAAAATGTTCAAGATGCTTTAAAATCAAATCAATTTTTTTTTATTCCCAATGAAAATAACATTAGTAAGGCTTTGGACATTAATATTTCATCTAATTCTATTATTTATAATAATTTCCAAGAAAATAATACAAATATAACTTCGGAGCTTTTAGAAAATATTTCACCTGAAATTGACTTACATTTTGGTTATAGGAATGGGGGACCAAGCGACTTAACCGACCGAACGATTATGTGTGCCATACAAGATTGGGTTAAGTTAGCTAAGAACCGTCTAGGACATAACACATCCAAAGTGTTAAGCTAAGATTTTAATTTTCATATATATTTTTTGTTATTTAGAGAAAAGTTCCGTTTAGTTTATTATTCAGTATTTTAGTGTTTATTTATAAGTACTTATTTATTTTTTAGTATTTTATTGTTTATTTTTTTTAATAAAATATTGTTCAGTTCATATATCAAGTGATCAAAAAAAATTTCTAAATATTTAGGCCAATTACAACTAAAATAGAAACTCGAGTAATGCCTATTTCTAGTATACGCACCTGCTATGGATGAAATCCAAACTGTCATTTAAGAAATATTAACCTTTTTCCATGGTCTCTTTTAAAAATTTTGTTTAGATCACTTTAATTTGTGTTTGAAATACATTTAAAACAATATCAGGTAGACGCATTTTACACATTAATAAAAATAATACAAATATATATACGAGTATGATAAATCTAATATAGACGTATAAAGAATAAAAAAATATACGTTTACAGGGTGGACATTTTCACGTATATATTGGGTTGTGCTCGTACATCAACGGTATCCATACGTATATTGTAGTACATAAAATAACGTCTTTTATACCAAAGTGGATTCGTATAAATATACTACAACTATAAATCTAATATAGACGTATAGTAAAAACGTTTAATTATAGGTGGATAAATTCTTAGTAATCGACGTTTATATATGACAAATAATATATGTATATAAGGCGGACATTTTCACGAATATATTTGGTAGTACATCAACCGTATTCATACGTATGGTAGTACCTAAAAAAAAAACGTAATTTATACCAAAGTGTGCTGCCTGGGTATTGTTACGCAGCACCCTGTAGCGTGCTGCGGTCGTCATAAGTAAAGGTACGAGTAAATGAAGAAGATAGAATATTCCCGAAATGTCTCGAAATGTCATTCCTTGTCAAAGAAAAGTCCAGATTGTTCGAGGAGGTTCTAGAAGGTCGAAGCAAGCTATACAGTATGTCGCTAATGTATGGAATAAATTCATTATTTCTAAAATAATCGACTTTTGAAAAAAATTCAAAAACAGGTCATTTTAATTTTTGAATCGTCATCACATGATGTAGATGTAACGAACATTACGTCACCAGTATTACCGTGGTGACGTAATCGGCAATTTTTTTAAATGCAACCATGTGTCTCAAAACACCTCATTGGAAAGGTATTCTAATCGTCTTTACAACGATGTAATTATTTGAATATTTATTTCTACAGGGTCGACCAAAACTGTTTATTTACTAAAATACATAAAACTGTTTAGTAAAAAACAATTAAATTATATTAAATGTTCAAACTGATGACCTTCAGCAATAATGCAATGAGACAGCCGAGCAGTAAATTCGTCTCTAACGTTTACGAGAATTTCAGGCGTTATTTGTGCAATCTCCGTTCTGATGCGATCCTTCAACTCTTCTATATCATTTGGGCGACTTTGATAAACTTTGCTCTTCAAGTATCCCCATAAAAAAAGTCTAAGGGTGTCAAATCTGGCGACCTTGGTGGCCATTCGATCGTTCCTCTTCTTCCTATCCACCTATCTGGAAAAACAGCATTTAAGTAGGTTCGTACATCAAATGCGTAATGTGGGGGTGCCCCATCCTGTTGAAACCACAAATCACATCTATTTGGAAATAGTTGATTTAATTGTGGTAATAGATAATCCTGAAGAAATTGAAGATATCAAGGACCGGTCAAGTTTCCTTCAAAAAAATATGGCCCTATTATTTGATTATTTATAATGCCGGCCCAAACATTCACCTTTTCAGGATATTGTGTCGTATACTCCTGCATCCAATGGGGATTTTCACTTGCCCAGTATCGATATGTCTGGCGGTTTACATGGCCGTTGAGCATAAAAGTTGCTTCATCCGAAAAAAGTATATTTTTTATGAAATTACGATCTTTGTTAGATCGTTCCATAATTGTTTCACAGAATTCAATTCTCCTATCAAAGTCATCTTCTAATAGCTCTTGGACCAAATGTACGTTATACGCATGCCACTTCTCCTTTTTCAGTACTCTAGCAACAGTAGAATGGTGTAAATTATTATCCAGCGCAACTTGTCTCGTGCTGGTGTGGGGTCTTTCTTGAAACTCTAGTAAAACGTTAACTTTTTTGTCTTCGGAAATTGACTTTCTACCACTTTTGGGGAGATCTTTAACATGGCCCGTTTCTCGAAACTTTTTCTCGATTTTACTAATTGTTGATTGAGAAATGGGTTCACGATTGGGGTATTTAGCATTAAATAAATTGCCAACTTCTCTCTGTGTCCTTACTCTATCTCGGAGTCATATTTGACCAAAGGCTGACATGGAATCAACATCTCAAAAAACTCACCCATAAAGCTACAATAGCTCTCGTAAGCTGTAGAAGAATATGTGGGAAAAACTGGGGTCCAAACCCCAAAATGACCATATGGTTATACACAAGGGTAATAAGACCCATGATAACCTATGGCGCAGTGGCGTGGGTAACCAAAACTGCGCAGGCAAGTGCAATAGGCCAACTCACTAGCATTCAGCGGCTTGCCTGTCTAAGTGCTACTGGGGCCATGCGCACTACGCCGACCGCAGCAATGGAGGTATTACTAAATCTCACGTCATTGCACATCTTCATACAAGGAGAAACCAGGTCAGCTATTCACAGGCTAATGCAGGGACAAAACCCAATAAGCCAACTACATAGCGCCGACCACACAAGGCTATATCAGCAAGTACAAAGGGATAATATTCTAGCTATGCCTACTGATAGAGCCATAACCACATACAAATTTGAAAGAAATTTTCAAATTCAAATACCAGCCCGAAAATCCTGGAAACAGGGACCTCCCGTACAGGCTGAACTCGTCTGGTACACAGACGGTTCAAAAACCAAGGAAGGAACAGGTGCTGGAATCTATGGACCTAAGTCGAAATCAACGATTTCACTAAGCTTAGGAAAATATGCAACAGTGTTCCAGGCTGAGCTAATAGCCATACAACACTGTGCAAGAGAAATATTAAATCAGCAAGTATCAGGCAAAACTATTGCCATATACTCTGATAGCCAAGCAGCTCTAAAGGCAATTCTCTCACCAGAAATCAAATCACGACTGGTGAAAGACTGTCTAGAAGACCTGACAGAGCTAAGTAGTCAAAATAAGGTGACCTTAGCCTGGGTTCCAGGCCATGAGGGATATCAGGGCAACGAAAAGGCCGACGAATTAGCCCGAGAAGGCTCAGATAAGGCCATGACAGGCCCTGAACCCTTTTGTGGAGTCGCTAAGGCATTGTGCAAGGCATCCATTAAACAATGGATGCAAAAAGAGTCTCAGGAATGGTGGAACAACTATCCAAGACTGAGACAGGCCAAACAGTTCATCAAGGAACCATCGGCCAAGTTTACGAAAGACCTACTGGATCAAAAACGTTTTATTTCCAGTGGCGGTCCTTACAATAACTTAGTTCAGTGAATCAGAATTTATGATTAAGATTTTAGTAAATAAACAGTTTTGGTCGACCCTGTAGAAATAAATATTCAAATAATTACATCGTTGTAAAGACGATTAGAAGACCTTTCCAATGAGGTGTTTTGAGACACATGGTTGCATTTAAAAAAAAATTGCCGATTACGTCACCACGGTAATATTGGTGACGTAATGTTCGTTACATCTACATCATGTGATGACTATTCAAAAATTAAAATTGACCTGTTTTTGGATTTTTTTCAAAAGTCGATTATTTTAGAAATAATGAATTTATTCCATACATTAGCGACATACTGTATAAGGCGACGACCTGACGTCAGAGTTTCAGTTGTATGATAGACGTTACATGTTAATGTTATCAGTTAAAGTTATTGTGTCAGTTGAATTGAGTTATTGTACAAGTTGAGTTCAAATAAATTGTGATACCAAAAACCAGCGTAACATTGGTGACAGAATGTTACGCTGGTCGTGCTGCGTAACAATACTGTTGATGTGATGAAAATGCTAAATTATTTTGATGGAGGTGAACTAAGGCAGTATCAAATTGACGGTGTGAAGTGGATGAATGCCCTATTTAAAAATGGAATCAATGGAATATTAGCCGACGAAATGGGCCTCGGAAAGACCGTCCAAATTATAGCCTTGATCTGTCATCTTATGGAAAGAAAAATACCGGGACCGTACTTAGTAGTTGCCCCCCTTTCGACAATACCAAACTGGGAATCGGAATTCAAAAGATTTGCTCCCAGTGTGCCGGTTTTTGTATTTCAAGGAAGCGAACATGACAGAAAAGCACAACATTCATCGTTAAAAAAGAAATATACTATTGGAGATTTTAAAACGCATGCCGTAATTTTGACCACTTATCAAGTACCTCTGCAGAATCAAAGAACATTCCCTTGTGAAATTCAAGGAAAGACAGGATGAAACAAGAAACTGAAGAGTTTCCAGGGAGGTCTAAAGTTATCCAGACAACACTGCAGCAAACAAACACTTGACTATGACTAGACAGAATCTGCGCCTAGTCACAAGCATTCTGACTAGTCATTTCCAAGTACAAAAGCATCTCCATATCATGGGGCTGTCAGAATCCGCACTCTGCAGAGAAGATGAGACCATAGAGATTATCCTTTACGATTGCTCGACGCTCTCATTTATTAGAAGATTTGTGTTGGGCGAGTATTGGCTAACACCGGCCGATATAAGATAAGGACCTCTTGGCGACGTTGTCAACTACATTAAATCAGACTACACGAGCTAGGAGGTGCCTAACATCTCAGAAGGATGCACAATAGGCCTAATGAGGCCTAAGTGCCGTTGGGGTAACCCACCCTCCACACGTTACAGATACAGATAACTTCTCTCATTTTTAGATTTGTCAGTGCGCATCTAATTCTGACTTGCCATCTCAATTTGGTCATACTGTACCTTTTGTGCCAAAAAACGACAACCCCCAAATTTGCTGCTGGTTCAGCAATTGAAAATTGTATGGTGGAGGTTGATGAGAAGCCGAAAGCAAGCAACAATTAAGAAGGCAGATTTTTAAAAAATGTAGGAGATTGATGTTGAAATGGTTAGGTATTTATTATACTGTTATTATACCTGATTTGAAAAATTGCCGTGAAAGCATTTTTACTTTTTTAAAATTTATAAAGACATTTGTGTCAAAACTTTTGAGACATACATTATATCAACTTAATATTATTTTTTAAATTTAATAGTTTGTTATTAATGACATAAATAAATTGCAGTCTTCAAGTTTGTTTTATAGTTGCCTCTTTTTGTTCGTTGTAAAATCACATCAGTACGTGGTAAATAACTAATAACTTTTTGCATTAAAAGACGTGTATAACCTAAAAGTGATGTCTTAATGCTGAACACAATAAATATCGGACATTAGTTTTACCGAATTTGATCATAATTCCTCCTTTAAATTTTTACTAACCTTATGAAACGGAAAAGCCCAGAAAGATGAAGGAAAACCGTTCACATCCCTCTCTCGCTTTACAAAAGCGCTAAAAGAAGATATACAATTCCCTATAAAATGATTCGATTTTCCTAAAATAGCAAGATCAACATGGGGATTAGACTCCGAATGCTTAAAAACTTTAATTTTCATTCTTTGCAAAGCGGTTCTGAGCTCGTCGATCATGTGACTATTATCCGAAGCAACAAAAATCGATTTAATAGTACGATCATTGTTATTGTTCGGAGAATTATTGATATTCTTAATAACACGTTTCAGCTGTCTGATTATGGTTTCGTGGCTCGGAAGGCACATATCGGCGGTAGCTGGACCTCTTTCGTTTCTGTAACCCATACATTGGGGAGCTGCAAAAAGACTCGGGCTTTCTGGGATATGTTGACAAGCTCTCACCCAGTCCATACCGTTGCGTAAGTGAATTCCGATGAAGGCACCTTTCGGGAGTATGTGGGCGATGAAATAATTTGCTTTGTCTTCAATGGCTTCGGACCATTGTAAATATTTTTGAAGGTAGAGATTCTCTTGCTGCACTGGAAAGCTAGCTGGAGCTCCTAATAAATATTAATATCGATTTTATTTTTACCTAAAATATAGAATAGAATATTTCTTTACCTGTAAAAGCTAAAACAGGCCATTTAGCGGGCGGGTATTTTTCATTCCATTGTTTAACCATGTCATGATGATGGGTGTCATAATGTAAAGGACCATAAAACTCCGATCCCACAAAATCAACATTATAAGTGTCCCAAAATGGTCCAAAAGGATTTCCCTCTTTTGCATTGCAGTTTTGTCCCATTCCTACAAAAATTCTATCTGTAGCGGGTGATATGGGCAACACATCACTGACCTGTTGTAGGCAGTCCTTGGAGCTGGACTCCTAATTTGCAGGAATGACAATACTGGGGTTATAATCAAAAGGTGGTTGTAGTATCATAACCACAAGTGCTTTTCATATCATTTATTTCTAATTTATTTTGAAGAGTATTGTGGCAGTAGAAAATAGGTTCACTTCGTCCGGAACAACCTCACATGACGTTACAGTGCTATGGATTATTTATTTATATTGTGTCATCATTTTATGCTTCTTAAACGTTTTATTTTAATTGATTGGGAGTTAAATCACATAGTGGTCTTGTCTGTAGTGACACAGTTAATATGAAAAATGACAGAATGTCAATGTTTCTGGATAATGCAATTTGCCTCAGGCACACGCCTCACCTGGGCGCTATGATAAATGAGAGACTACTTCATTAAGACAGACTATAAAGAACCCAGTCCATCAAAGTACCGAGTCCAAGAAATAAGAGTAGTAAATAGACATAGATGTAAATGGTAGTCTAAAAGGAAAATTTGAAGAGTTGGTGGTGGTGATAATAATACTCTCCCTATAATTCATCCCCTTATGAGTTAATTATAACCACAAAAACCGACTGAACTTGTGTGGAGACGGGATGGTTATTATTATTTACCGTGGCGCTCTGGGGCCATCTGGCTTACAGGTGAGGAAAACCCCATCTACCATCATACTTAGGTTTATAACAAGTAAAGAAATAGGTATAAATACGTATATTATCAATGTGTATGCTTCACAAGTAGGATGGAGAGGCAGCAAGACAAGAGTTCTACGAACAGCTTGATGGCTGGGTTGAAGAATTTTCTACAAATGAGAGAATATTTTATGAGGAAATCTGGATGACTATATTAGAAAGGATAAAGCTGGATATGAAAATATGGGTTCCACAATAGATATGAAAAGATCGCGGTGACGAATGAGAAAAAGTCCAACTCCTTTAAAATATAATGGATCCATGGAGGAATTAAAATAAGAGATGATACTGGTAAAAGCATCTCCGAAAAACGAGAAAGTTAGACAAATCAGCATTATGTTATTACTAGTCTTAGATATTTATAATTCTAACAAAAAAAAAACATTTATTGATCAACAGAAAAAATCCCAATTACAGAACAATTTAATATGAAGAATAAACATTAATAAAATGTAAAAATTCAAAATAAAATTATACATATAATAATACAATACACATAAAAGTTTTAAGTCTGAGACTGATACAGTGTTCTAATCATAATTTTAAAACATGTAAATGAATCAAAGTAATTATCGGAACCATTGCAAAAGTTTTAAGTCTGAGACTGATACAGTGTTCTAATCATAATTTTAAAACATGTAAATGAATCAAAGTAATTATCGGAACCATTGCAAAAGTTATTGTAGATAGAACATGTTGAAAACACACGCGATTTTGCATAAATTTTAGTGTGAGGTGTTTGAAGGTAAAAACAATGGTTAAGTCTGCTCACAAGTCTAGGAATAAGAAAAATTAAATAACTTAATAATTCTAAGCAATTAAGTTTACCATTCAATAGATTGTAAGCAAATATGCAAGAGTTGTATTGTCTACGATTAGCCAGCGAAAGCAAGGCAAACCTATTGAGACGTAGATTGTTATCAACACTTTGGACAGAATACGTATGATCAAGCTTAAAAGTTGCATTCTTTAAAAAAGAACGTTGAACATTTTCAATTTTGTAATATGGACACCAAACCAAAGCAGAATATTCAAGGGGCGATCGAACACGTGCAAAGTACAGGGTTTTCTTCTTCTTCTTCTTCTTCTTCTTCTTGCACTTATAACTATTTTGTTTATATGGTTCGAGAAACTGAGCTTTATATCAAAAATTACTCAAAGGTCCTTGATTTGATTGACTTCAGTTAAAAGAGAGTTTTTAATGGAATATTGGAATAAAATATTGGTTTTTAATGAGTAACAGACAAATTTGCATTTCTGGATGTTTAATGGTAATCATTACACCACTGCTCCAGGGTATCCAAATCTTTTTACAGTAATGCACAATCTTCTCCTGTTGTAATTGTCTTAAATACTTATAAGTCGACTATAAACAATAAATAATCACTTGAGAATTGATCACCAATATCATTTACAAACGAGAAAAAGAGAGGTGCCAAATTACTACCCTAAGGAGCTCCACTAGTAGCTATAAATTGAATGATTTATTACTTCTATATTCAATATACATAATGCGGTTTATGAGATATGTCTGAAACAGTGCAACGAGATCATCAAATCCAAAGATTTCCAGTTTTCCTATAAGAGTCGTATGATCCAACTTATCGAATTCCTTTGAAAATTCTGTATAACTTGTATCGACTTGATTATGTGTATCTATGGCTTGGCTTAACGTACTATAAAGCAGGAAAAACCTTTCCAGAAGTAATTTATTTTTATATCAAACCAAAAATTGGTTTTTAATTTTGAGTAAAAAAAAAAGATTCGAATCAAAAAAAAAGATTCGAATCAAGTGATTCGAAACCATTTTTTCGGATCAAGAATACGAATCACTGTCAGCGCCCTACGGTATTCCATGCTTCCGAATTTAATCAAACTTTAAGGTAATTTCTAATGATAGGGAATGGCAGCAAATTGAATTATCTATTGATAATGAACTTTTAAATAAAACTGACAGTATAAAATATCTTGGCCTATTAATAGATGAAAAATTGTCTTGGGAACAACACGTTTACTACATTTGCAAAAAGATAGCACCTGTCATTGGCATTCTTGGAAGAATCTCATATCTATCTGTGCACTACAAGAAAATGATTTACCACTGTCTTGTCAACTGCCACCTGACATACTTGACACTTATTTGGAGATGTATGTACAATATAAAAGTTCAACCACTTCTTGTGCTGCAAAACAAGGCAATAAATAAAATCTTCAACCTGCCTCGATTACATCCTACATCAAATCTATATCTGCCTAACAAGATAATGGATATTGATTCAATATACAGTATGTCCCCCTAGGTTGTAATCATATGGAAAACTTTATTATTAATTTTAGGAAAAAAGTTATTCTTCATAAAAAGTTCTGCATTATCTAAAACCTAGAATACACACATCAAATATCAAATATTTTCAGTGGTATACGAGGTTTGCCAAACAATATGAGTTTTACTCAAGAGCAAAGTACCTTTATTCGACTGATAAAATTTGATATATGATGGTTGTATTTTAGGTTTTAGACTATGCTCGACTTTTTATAAAGATTAACTTTTTTCCCAATATTAATAATAAAAAAGATTTTCATATGCCGCCAATTTACATAGACAGTTGGTGGCATATGAAAATCTTTTTTATTACTAATTTTAGGAAAAAAAGTTATTCTTTATAAAAAGTCGAGCATGGTCTAAAACCTAAAATACAACCATCAAATATCAAATTTTATCAGTCGTATAAAGAATAAAGGTACTTTACTCTTGAGTAAAACTCATATTTTTATGACAAACCTCGAAACCACTGAAAAAATTTGATATTTGATGACTGTATTCTAGGTTTTAGATAATGCAGAACTTTTTATGAAGAATAACTTTTTTTCCTAAAATTAATAATAAAAAAGTTTTCCATATGATTCCAAACTAGGGGGACATACTGTATATATACCAAGTGTGCACATATATACACAGATGTCTGCACAACGAAATGAACCCAAATATTCACCTCGTTACCAACAATGAAATCCATACCTATGATCTGCATAACAGGAATGATCTGAGAGCAGTATCAATGAAAACATCAGTGGGGCAGAGAAGCCTAACAAGTAATGGTATCAATATATATAACAAGATTCCAGAAAGAACTCGAGGTCTGCAGACAACTTCCTTTGCGACACAAAGAAATTAATATTTGCAGGTTACTTCAAGGTTAATTAATTAATAAATGTTTAAAGTTAAATTCTTAAGAACTTATTTCTTTTAGATATCTTGTAATTCTTCTTCCTTCATGTTAATAATGTTTTTTATAATTCTATTTTTGTTGTTTTCTATATTTCTAAATAATTTATGTTGGCCTGGAGAGCTCATATAGCGTAAGCTCGAGCTCAATTACACATACACTGTGATTATTATTATTGCGATGTATTGTGATTGTATTTTCTTACTTGGAATAAATAAATATTGGGTACTATCAACTATGTGTCTATTACGGACTATGTCGTGCATAAAAATGGTTGATACAAAAAAATGTTGAATAATAGGAATATACTATTTTTTTTTTTCTATGAATATGAACCATAAATAAATTAGAATCTACAAAAAAATATATTTTATTTTAATACAAAAACAAAAAATAAACAATGAAATAAAAATGTCTTTTGGTTTTCCTTACACAGTACCAAAATTTCAAAGTTTTCATCTGTCAGGCCATTCCTTTGAGGCAAATGTTAAATTTTAAGATTTTTCATGTTGGATATTCATTGCTAATTTGTGGGTCCACCAAAATTTTTCGAATATATTTTTTCGAATCCTATTTTTTCGAATGCTAAATTTTCGAATCGAATTTTTCGAATTTATAATTTTTCGAATTCTAATTTTTCGAAAACATATTTTTCGAAATTGTTTTTTTCGAAAAACAGTTTTCTGAATTTCTTACTTTTAAAATAAACATCTTTTTATATGATAAAAAGTTTCTGGTTCCGTTACTGTTTTTTTTTTATATTTGATGTATTTGTTTGTTGTCACCTCAGATAAACAAATTGTCACATTTAATATTGTTGATGTAATTTTTGATTGTCATATTTAATGTCTTTTAAGATGTTTAGTGGTTCAATTTTAAATCGAAAATTGTATTTAGATGGGTATTTTTACGTCAAAGATAAGCAGTGTAACGACAAAATATACTGGAAATGCGAAGAATTTCACAAAAAAATGCAAGGGGCGAGCAATAACGGAAAACATGGAGTAAAAGGAGAACACAACCACAGTGGAAGAAGTGAGAAGGAGGAAGCGGAAAGCGTAAGAGAGGATATAAAAAATATGGCGTCAACTTCGCAATACACCCCACATCATATTATTTCCGAGACAACAAAGGCTTGTTTTGTTATAACGCGAGCAAATTTACCATCTATAAGTAGCCTGAAAAGAACAATCCAATATACAAGAAAGAAAACCAATCCGTATCCTTGTGTACCTAGTTTAACGGAATTAACTTTGCCCGATAAATATAGAGTTACCGATAATGGTGCCAGTTTTTTGCTGTTCGACTCTGGCAAAAATGAACGAAGAATACTGATTTTTTCCACAGCCACTAATATGCGCTTCCTTGGCGAATCAGTATATTGGTACATGGATGGAACTTTCAAATATGTACCTACTATTTTCGAGCAATTGTATTCAATTCATGGAATCGTTGGTAGTCACACGGTTGTCCTTTTAGCATATGTGTTACTTCTAGACAGAACCGAGAAAACCTACACTTTTTTATTTGAGAAAATAAAAGAATTTATGCAAAAAACAATGGTTAAGGTAATTACAACTGATTTTGAAATATCCCTCTTCAATACTGTGAAGACAGTGTTTCCTTCGGTTTCGCATATTGGCTGCTATTTTCATTTTAAACAGTGTTTGTACAGAAAAATACAAAAATTGGGTCTTAAAAAGGAGTACGATACTAACAGGCTTTGTTCATTTAGTGTCAAATTATTGGCTGCATTAGCTTTTATACCGCAAAAACACGTACTTAGAACATATGAACAAATTCGGCAACGATTACTACTTCCTAAAAACCTTGATACTTTTTGCAATTATTTTGAAGCAACCTGGATAGGAGAGAAGACAAACGAAACAATAAAAAACCCAAGATATGACCACAAATATTGGAACTTTTACGATCATATTTTAAATGATATACCAATCACGAACAATTTTTGTGAATCATGGCATAATACTTTCCAAAGCCAAATTAATTGTAAGAATCCCTCGATATGGAACTTTATAGAAGCCTTGAAAAGAGAACAGAGCATTACTGAACAGAAAATAAATCAAGAAATAAGAGGACAATCACCTAAGAAGCGAATTCGAAAACACAACTTTCAAATTAAACATATTGTCTCAAGTTTCACAGAAGATATGGATGACGACCAAATAGAACAACATATTAGAAATATTGCTTTAGTTATTTAGCTATTAATATTGCAATATTATTAAAAATAACATGCTTATTTTTGTACAAATTGTTTCTTCTAAGTTGTTTCAATAAATATTGTTGTTGGTTGAACTAAAATTTTAAAACCTGATTTCGAATTATTGATTTTAAAAACATTTGACATTACAAAATATCTCGTTCAAAAAATTTATTTTCGAAAAATTTTTCATTCGAAAAGTTATTTTCGAAAACTTATTCAATCGAAAAATTATTTTCGAAAAAGTTGCATTCGAAAAATTAGTCATTCGAAATTTTAGCATTCGAAAAAATATAATTCGAAAAAATACATTCGAAAAATTTTGGTGGACCCCTAATTTGTAGATTATTACGTTTATATTTTTAATATTCACAATCAGTCTTCAGTCTCAGTCTGTTTCCATTTACATTTCGTGACAAGTCAAAGCTTGAGTCAACCGTTCACACCAGCATGTTTGGTCTCTAAAAGGATCCTAGACTAATATTGGTGATTCGAATCCTTTAGGATTTTCTCGACGAATCCGGATTACAGATCCTTTTTTTCTTAAGTATTCAAATAAAACTCTGGATCCTCAAAAGGATTCTAATCCTCCCCAGTTCTGACCATCTGATATAAGAGACTATTTTCTTTGCAAAGTGTGCATTATATTTATTTGCCCACTTTCAGTACAAAGTTACAAATAAAAACAAAAAAAACCTCAAATTAGAGTCAATCTAAATATGTCATAATAATGCTAAACTAATAAACTAACAACAAAAATCATAAATATATTAATATGTACAAAATCGAAACAATTAATATTAGGACTAGGAAATTAAGTCACAGTAAGTTTTAACACAATTAGAAAAGCTTGAATTAAAAAATTCTGATTATCAGCACAAGCATTAGTGCTTCGTGAAACTCTAGGCATGAATGAATAGAGGCCAGTATTGTTTCTTATGTAAGGCTGATAAAAACTGTTTATAGATCTTATGCTTCTAATTGGGGCTGCCAACAACATGCTTGATATCGATGTAGGGCAGTCAACCAAATAATTAATGAGCTTAAAAAATAATTTCCTATATGCCTACATAAAAGAATGAATAGATTAAAATTTTATGTTTTCTTAAAAACAGGTATTAGAAGAGCAGGTTAAACATACATTTGCATACTAACCATCTCTAGCTGTATAACAGAACGCTATCCTTTTATCTTCTGGCCATTCATATGGAGCAACAGTTTTCATGAAATCTTCCATGAGTAAAACTTTATGGAACTTTTGTAATGGTTCAACTTTAAAATATGTATTAAAAGGCACTTGAATTGACTTTGGTTCTCCATATCTGTATTCAACCCAAGGAGGTAGAACTAAAGTTCTGTTTACAGCGTTCGAAAAACTTAATGCACCTAAGAAATGATCCGCTTGATTACCGAAACGACCTAAAAATAAAATGTGTACTAGGAGAAATAAATGATATTAAATTATTTACCCATGCAGGGGCAATATAAAATATAGCCAAACGGATCAAGTTCTGTAGTTTCTAGGAGTTTAAGAAACATTAAAAAGTTTATTATACTTCTTTTAAATAGTGAAATCATCTTCGATAGCAATTAAAAGTGACTCAATTATTCAAATTTTAATTAAATAATGCTATAGTATCAGCTGTATATTTTTTCCTACCGGTGTTATTGTATTGGTCGCTACAACGGAATTATATGTGTAAAATCGTTGTAGATCAATAGTCATATAATATTTCTTTCTATCAATTAATAATAATTATATAAGTCAAATTATTCTTTTAGAAAGTACAAAATTCAAAAAAAGTTTAAAACTCACGTAGTCCAGCTACATACAAAACAAATTAAAAGCAGCAGGAAACAGGACTGGTACTTGTAACGACAAAAGGTCAATTACCATTTGGCTGGTTTTATGAAACTAACAGGTCGTAAAAAAAGACGATTTAACATAACCTTAAAGCTTTTAATTCTTTTTAATTTGTCTCTACCTTTAGTAGTTCTACAGCTCTTTCAAAGAATATATAACTTGTGAAATCCATAATTGTAGATTTATTTAACATGTGTATTATTTACATAATATTTGAATGAATCAAGAATTTTTAAAAACTACTTAATTATAAACAGAATTCATGTATAACATTTAAATGTGAAGTTTATCTCTGTAAAATCTTAATCCACAATAACCGCAGGCATGGTTTCCAGGTTTATCCTGAAATTGATATAATAAATAATAAAATGTAATCTATAAAAAAATGGAATACAAGAAAAATCTTCTCACCAAATTAATGTACACTTTAGGATGACCAGTAGGACCACTGCCACCATCACAGCAAACAACACGTTCTACACAAGCTTTTGGTGGAACTTCATCTATTAAATTAATTGCAAAATTTGGATTAACATGTTTTGGCCTGTCCACAAATCTGGACAATCTATAATCATTTGCATCCCATTTCTGTAACAAAAGAGATCATGGACATATATCTGCATTCAAAACTTGCAACATTAATTTGTGAATTACAGTAGCCTAAGATTATATAAATATTTTAACTTTAGCACAATAAAAATTAGTGAATTCAATTTTGTATACAGTTTGCATTCAATATCTTCAAATAAAGTAGGAATTTTATATAACCTGTCCAGTGTGGGTTTCCTTTTCTTTTGGTACCCAGTCAGACATACATCTTGCTCCTACTCGACAAGTTTGTTGTCTAAGCAATATTTTTTCAGAAAGCTGAGCCAATAATTTTATTTGGGACATTTTGTGAGTTATTGAAAATTGAAATGTTAAATTTGTGACATAACAAGAACAACTGTCATTGTAAAATAAGGTTAAGTTCCTCTTATTTATTAACTGGCCTTTCATTATTGATAACATGTTGACAACAACTTACTGAACAACCACTTTTATTAGACCTCTTTTCAAACAGAGTCAATGAACGAATGAACTAGTTCATTGAACAGAGCAGCAGTGAATTTTAAATATTTTAATTTTTTTTGGGATTGTCTTTAATTTGAGACATTTGAGTAATATTTTTTCCAAAGCAATTTTCGCGTACGTGATATATTTCGGGATTGCAAACTTGGAAGTTACCTAACCATCCACAATCCACCACATAGTACTGACAGAGCATATTGTGATTTCCTCGTATTTCCCAAATTTACAAATTTTGCAGGGAATTGATGCTTCTAATACTGGTTTCCGAGGTACCCCAAGAGTAGGGTTGCCGGACACATGTCTTGCTTTTTTGGCAATTTGTTAATGTCCAGTCGGCTTTTTCCAATTTGGGAAAAAATTGTTATTAAATACCTATAATTTCGATGTTGTTTACAATACTAATAAGTGCAAAATTCAAACGGTCAAATATAAAAATGTAACCAATACCACGCGAAAACGTTTCGCCATATCCTCCTTCTTTTTTGTCCTTGTTTAGCTAAGGTCTTTTTTTTTTTAGAAGCTGAAGCTCCATAGAAAGGAACAAGGGTTGATTAAAAAATAAACGAGGACCTTTGTTTTTTTGAAGCTCCAAACATAATGCTTGTGTAGTAAATGCATATGTAAAAAAATGTATTTTTTTGTGAAAAATCAGGCTTTTTTTGTACAATTGTCCTACTCTTATGTTATGTTGAGAATGGGGTGTTAATACACTGCGACCTAAAAGATCTATTGTGCTCCCTTCTGTCGCCAATGCACTAAGGAAATGTCTCAATGCCTATAACGACCCTTCCAATCCTATTTTCTCAAGGAAGTGTAGGATTTGAAGTGGCTTCAAGTTAGGTAAATCTCCCTCTTCTATTTGATATCCTCCTAGATATAGTGCCCTTGGATTCTGGAGTGCTACACATTCAGTTAGGATGTGAATGGAGGTTTCGTCCTCCTCCTCCTCACAGAATCTGCACTCACTATCCTCTTATACTACTCTCTTAGGTGTCCTTTTAGTCGGCAATGCCCGGTAAGGATCCCTGTTATAATACGCTAGCCTGTTCTTGCTCAGGCAGATGCAGGCTTCCGATCTTTTCTGGTTATATTCACCCAGAGATGTATCTTGGCCTGTCTCAGTCCCAAGATATTGACCCGATTATTAGTTCTACCATTTACAATGGTTCTACTGCCCAATTCTTTTTTAATCTCTCCCAATTGTTATATAAACCTTTGTCATGGCATTGCAAACACATTTTGATTGAACGCATATGGGTTTATGGGAGGTAAGTCTACTAATACAAATTTACTGCTCTACAAACATTTGATCATTTCTGCCTTGGAGAGGGGGTGTCAGGTTGACTCAATATTTACACTGACTTCTTGAAGGCATTTGACACGGTGAACCATGATTTGCTTTTAAGGAAACTAGTGTAATTCGGGTTTCCAAACTACTTAGTGAAATGGTTAGAAAGTTACTTGCAATCCAGGGTTCAATATGTCAAAGTTAAAAGTTTTACTCCGATTCAAATAAATGTAAGTTCAGGTGTTCCCCAGGGATCTCATTTGGGGCCATTACTATTTAATATATTAACGATGTGGCTTCAGGATTTAAATATTGTATAAGTTCCTACTATTCGCCGCTGACCTGAAATTATTCATGGAAATCTTAAACTTACCCGACTGTTTGAAATTACAGGATGATATAAAATATTTTATTAATTGGGCTTTAAATAATGCCATGTCTTTCAATCCACGTAAATGTTTTTCAATCACCTTCACAAGATCAAAAAACCCTATAAATTTTCTTTATAACATCAATACTACTGTTTTGGAGAAAGTTAGTGAAATCAATGATCTAGATGTGATCTTCCATAGTTTTTTGACATTTGTCCCACACATGAGATCCTTCATTAGTAGAGCTCTGAAAACATTGGGATTTGTGACCAGGAACTCTAGGGAATTCTCTGTACCTACATTCCGAACCCTTTACTTAACACTAGTGCGCAGCATCCTCTTATATGTTTCACCAGTCTGGTCACCTCATTACCATATTTTAAATTTAGAAACAGTTGAAAATAGGTTTCTAACGGCCATATGCACCATTGTCCAGCTAAGTCCTCTGTTATCTAACAGTAGTATAAAAAATAACAGTGTGTTAACAGAATTTGCTATGCACCATCTATGTACCATCTATTTACTAGTTTCAGTAAGAAATCAGTCTGTTGCGTACATATTACTGTCAATATCCTATAAAACCTTATATAGCCCTTCAAAATAAACAAGTAAAATTAAAATAGTCTGATAAGTAAAATTAACAGGCCAAATTTGGTTTGTTAATTAACAACGCCTTTAACAGATTGTTAGTCGTATGTTGTAATGGTGAATACAAAATTGTCAATTTAACAGTCAGTTATGTAGTTAACTCTTTGATAACTATTAACAGAAGAATGGTGCATATGGCCGTGAGAACTTGTCAGTAGAGGTTACGTATGCCTTATCTTTCTAAGAGGGAGCTTAATAACCATTTAAACTTATTGTCAGTTGAGAAAACGTTAATTAGTAATGATTTTATTTCTTTATAACCTCCTGGAAGGGAATATAGCTTGTCCGGATATGTTGGAGCTAATACATTTTAGATTAAACAACATAAATATTAGAAACCATTATTTTCAATTAGCTTCCATCATACGAACTCAACAGTCCTTTAACCAGATTTCAAAGGCAAGGAAATGAAAAATTAACACACTGATTTTTTGGGAGTTAGTCGGTTTAGGTTTAAAAATCAGCTGAGGGAGTACTTATCGAGTTAGCTTTAGCTCGAAGTTTTTTTGTGATATTTATTTAAGTTTTTTTTTCTTTTTTGTGTGATACTTTAGGTTAGGTTTAAAATATTTACTGATAATTATTTTGTAAAAGATTTTCCGTAAATAAATAAAATATTAAGTTAACTGCTGATACTGCAGAACGGCTCAGGTCCTATAAAGGGTGTTTAGAGCCCCTTTCCTTGAAAGACTATCTGCAATCTCGTTACCCTGTACCCCGTTATTGTCCTACTCTTACATATTGTCCATATGGCAACCCTACCCAAGAGACGTGCAATTCCTGCTATGTATTGATTGAGCAAAATTATTTCGATAATATAAATAAATAAGATTCAATTTTTACTGTCCTGTCTGTATACAGATAAGGAAAGTATATGAATCATGATTTTTTCGACGAATTCTTACTTTTTGGAGTTCCCGTTTTATCTATTTTCGCGATTAGGTATATGTGTATATTTGACAACTCGGGAAGGGATACAAAGAAAAATAACAATTTTAAACTTAGCTCTATCCTGCAGTGAGCTAATTAGGTTTTGGGCATAGTAGGGACATCTGGGGAATATTTTATAGTCTTTTTTTAATTTTATGGAATGTTATTTAGGCTTGGAGAAGAAAATTCCGTCAAATAAAAGTTGTAATCTCTATAATTTTTGTCCTATATATAATTTTCCTAAAATGGCCCGTATTCAATAAATTTGACAAAGTGCAAAATTCAAATTTTTAAGAAAATTGTTCAATAATTTTTGTTCCATACATGATTTCTCTTAAATAGACCGAAATGGAAAAATTTTCATTATCAATGAATTTATATAAAAAAATATTTCCAGGGGTGAAACAAGAGGTTGTACAAAATAATCGAAAAAACCTGTAATAACTGTGTCGAAACATATTTGTATATCTAGTAAGTACAGAAATCGTTTTTTCACAATGTTTACATTTTGGGGTTTCCTAAATCATTTTGACGATTTTCTAGATGGTCTTTATATATAACTCCAAACGGAATAAAGGGAGAAATATCAAACTTTAATCCATCCAGCAGAGCAGATTAAATTTTGGGCATAGTAGAAGCATCTGGGGGTATTTTTTTCTATTTTAAGGTTATATTTATTTATGAGTAGAAAACAGAATTCTTTGATTAATAGTTAAGTTTTTCACAGTGCAGTTTTTCAAAAATAAACACTAATATACAAATTAAAGATTTATTACACATTCTAATTACATCGAGTGATCAACAAGAAATTATTTGAGAATACAAATAAAATAAAACGCCTTACAATCTAAATATAAAATTAGGAAACATAAGTCTAAAATTAATAGTTATCCAAAAACTATCGTCCTTCAACTGAAACAAAAAAGCATTAATTAATAAAAAGAAAAATTTTTACAAATAAAATAACAATTTTTGTCTGATAACAGACTCAGAATCTCTGGACTCGTGTTCATGTCAAATTTAAGTGGATATGGTTATATTAGTCTGTGTATTTGACAATAATGATAGTAAATCCAATGTAATTACATCACTAAAATTTCGTTACTTTGGTGCCACAGATATTTTCAAACTTCAAAAGAAATCAGTAAGAATCTTGGCTGGTGTTGGTTTTAGGTAACCTTGCCAGCCTATTTATCAGACTTCTCATGTTACTATTACCATCACTATTCCTGCTGCACATTTTAATGAAGCAAACAAGCCGTTTTCGCTTAACAAGTCCCACAAAAATTCACAGGATTATAATCTTTAACTACCACCCAAAATAAAATCCCTTGGTATAAATAAATTCAAAAAAACTTTAAATTTATAAAGATTATAATTACTACAAAACGAAACGTGATGAAATGTGGAGCTGATACAAATTATTGTGATCCCAGGCGAAAATTTTACTAATTTTTGTTTGTTTTATCCATTTTTGTCAGCATTTGGATGAATTAATAATTATTGAGAGGTAAATAATAAAAAATTAGTTCCAACGCTTATACTATACTAACAAAGAAATATTTAGTTACTTTTAAATTATTTAAATAATTGTTAAAAATAAATAACTACGATAGAGGTATAAAAATCTATGTTAGCAATTTATTTATCAAATAGATTCGACTATTACTTTAGATATTACATACATTTCTGCATTTAAGACGAGATTAATTATTAAAAAATAGAATAGTTGGTCTGGGTTTGATCCCCACCCTTTATTTTTTTATTTTTAGTTCTTTTCACCCGCTTTATAAATGGTTGTATACTTACTATATGAACTTAAATCGATCTCATCAGGTAGTTCAGTAATATTCACATCAAATCTGTCTTGTACTTCGTTAAGAATTTTAGCATCTCCTTCTTCAGAAACGAACGTAATGGCTAATCCTTTGGTACCGAATCGACCAGCTCTAGCTACTCTGTGTAGGTAGGTATCCGAATCTTCGGGCATATCGTAGTTGAATACAATATTTACTCTTTCAATATCCATACCGCGTCCGAAAAGATTGGTTGCTACCAAAATTCTCTAAAAAGAAAAAGGACAATATATTTGAAGAATTATAGGATTACAATTTAGAGACTAAAGACTGTTAGGACCTGAATAATATACTTATATAATAAATTTTATGACATAATTTAGAAAAATCAAATTTGATCAATCTGTTTGGTTTTGTAAAGAATAGAAAATCAATGTTTCAGAGAAAAGCCAATTTTTAATGGAAAAGTTTTTTGAAAGGAGATATGATAGAAGAAAAAATATATTGTTAGGGTTTTGAAAAAGTAATGTTGGAAATATTTGGATTATATAAAGTAAAGAAGGAAATTGATTTGTTAAAAATTTGTTTCGTTATTGTTGTTGGAAAAAATAGAATACACAGAGAGTAGGCAGTCTTTATAATTTTTTGATATACTGGGTGGAGCAGAATGTTGGGAGCGATAGAAAGAAGTCAGAAGCAAGCAGACAAGGGTTGTGCCAAAAGATAAATTGGATATAAATTAATATCTAAATTTATATAGTTCAAATCAGATCAAACATAGAGTAGTGTTGGAGCCAAATTAGTGGATATGGAAATTTTAAATAGAAATTAATAAGTTTTTGTTAAATTTTTATTGAAAGTAAAAATGTGATCTAACCGAAAATTAAAATCCGTATGATTAAAATTTCAATTTATATATATAAAAAAATATATATTTATCTCAGTTAGTAGGGGAAATAAATTGAAGTTTCCAATTTTCATATCAATACATACCTTTTGGAAATCTTTAAACTGCTCATACCGAGACAATCTCTCTTTCTGGTCCATGCCTCTGTGAATTCCAATTGCTGGAAAGTTTTGCTCTGTTAACAATTGCGCTAAGGCTACACACCTTTGCACCGACTTTACAAATATAACGACCTTAAACAAGAAACACTCAATCAGCAAGAAAAATTATTCATAACATTAGGGGAAAAATCTAAGAGATTTTTGTCAGTGAGAGAGTTCAAAATGATATCATTTTAATCATACGCATTATTATCATCATGTTAAAATTTAGTAAAAACATGTGGTCAAATGATACAAAAACGATGTACATTGCAAAATAAAAACCTAAGAAAAAAGATAGAATATAATTTTCATGTTTCAATGTTTAATATAAAGAAAATTGAGTGATTATGTATACAGAATGGAAATAGATATGAAAGACAAACATCTACAGATTCTTAATTCAAAACACCAGAATATCAGGATATCTACCAAAAGATGGACATGAAAAATAGTCATCTGCATTATCAGATTGTTATAGTTCATCTTTAAACTAGGAGAAGTGGTCATACAGGGAAAAGTTACCATTGTTTATTTTTCTACGGTAAGATCAGTTGTTCGACCCGTGCAACCAAACTTTTATTGCAGCTTTTTTTAATTTAAACTGGTTTCTTCTTGTCTACATCAGTTTACTTTTAGATATTTTTTGGTCCTGTACACCAGTGAGCATGTGGGCCCAAGACTTAAATTTTTTTAACGAATTAGTGCACTTATTTTATGTAGCAAGAACAGATACCGAAATATTTTAATTGTAACAGTTACGAATTTTTTAAAAAGTTTTTAGTATTTTAGTGATTTTTATGTTTCAGTTTTTGTTACTAATTGAATAAATACATGTAGAACTGTTCAATTTGTAACTAATAAAAAACATTTGAAATTTTTGTTTTTTTTTTTACAAATCGAAAATGAAAATTTATAGATTCTGCTCGGTTCACGTACGGTTCTGTTATCCCCCGGGTCACAATCAGCTAACACACACAAATTTCATATTGAAAGTTACCACAGATGAGCATAACGAACTTGAAGTGAAAGTTGTAGTATCCACTAGTGATGGGAAAAAGCGTTATTTTCATTTAACAGTTACAACTGTTATTTTTAAATAACAGCTTAAAATAACAGGTTGTCGTTATTTTTAACATCTAAAACCAAATAACAGCTTAAAAAATAACAGATAGTTAAATAACACATCACTAGTGCCTACGGGGGGACACGTGGTCCAGAATGTTAAACTGGGAAAACCGAATTGAAGTCACATTTAGACAGGGGTACATTTGCACCCACATTTTCTTTTCCTTTTTCTCGACATTTTCAAGTCTAGACTATGTAATCGTAATATTGAAAAATGAACGTAATTTAATTATATTATTTTTTTTAATTCAAATGAGACCGAAGATTAATAAAAAAAAAAATAAATTAAAATTATTTTTGAGAAAAATTTCAAGTAAAATTTTGTATGGTTTACCTTGTAGCATAAAAAAATACATGCGCAGAAAACAGGGTGATGAACAAAAAATGGCTTAAAAATATAAAAAAAACAGGTGGGGTACAGCTTGGTAGTACAAGAAAAAAAAAAAAAACAATAAAATTGCCTAGTTCTGAAATAACAGATATTTAATTTTTGATGAATAATAGGTAATTAGAAAAATTAAAACGCGAAATAAGCACAGATATTTTATCTTTTTTAAGTTATCGACCACGATGTGTCCGTTAAAGAAATATCATTATTAGACATTTTGGTCTATGTAAACTTGTCTGTCAAACGACCATTTAGAAGCGGGATAGAAAATTTAAATCGATACTAATAATTTAAAAATAGGTATTGTAATAATTAAAATACAATAGCACAATGTAACAAAAAGGGAAATTAGACAAATATATAATATAAACTGTAGAAATTAAAAAGGCTGAAAATAAAAAAATATTTTCTGGTGTGAATCGAACCTACAATCCTTGGTATACCATGCCATTGTTCTCTTCCTAACTCCTTTTTATACCAATTTTTCTCCAGTCACTTTTGTGACAAAATTAAACAAAACATGCCTTGGGCCACCTGGAACAGATATAAAAGATGGAATAGCAAAATTATGATCTGGAGATCATAGATGGCAAAAAGACAAAAATAATTATTGCAATGAAACATGTTTTTATATCAATGAAACCACATGCGCAACTTACACTTTTCTTCTACATTTGCAAAAATACCAAATACAAGAACATACCTGGTTAAATTCCAAGACATCTAGTAACTCAAACAACTTTTTATTCTTTTCGTTCTCTTTTAGTTTTACATAATGCTGCTGTAAACCGTGAAGGGTCAATTTGGCTTCGTCATCAACGTACACTTCCATGGGCTGAACAAAAAAATGGAACAATTTTTAAATCTGACCTCTATTGATCATTATAAAGGGTCAACTTTTTGTTGAGATGTTTATATTTTAATGTTTTTTGTTGAATCGTCATTAGAGATCAGATTTTTCGAAATTAAATTAAAATAATTTTTTGGTCTAAGTATTTAAAGTCATTCAAAATCAAAATAGGTGTTATTGCAAAAATAATGAAGAAAATTTAATGCATTAGTTTCAATACCAAATTATTGTTTGTTTACTTTTTGTATGTTACAAATTTTGATTCTGAATGAAACTGACTATAAATCATTAACGTTTTGGTTTTCATTGCAATTCAGATTGTAAATGCAAAAAATTTGAGTGACATGAGATTTAATTAAAATGAAATATCAATAAATAATTAAATTAGGTGCTGTAGAGGATCATTGTAAAAAATATGTAAGATTGGGTATAAAAATTAATTAATGAACAAATATAAAAGAACATTTAAACAAACATACAATTAAAAAAAAAAAAAAATACTTTTAAAAATAATAAAAGGGGCACAAAAAATACCTACACTAAAGATAAAAGCTGTTGAAATTGAAAGAAATGGATCATTGAAAACCAAAAGTTAAATATAAATAATTAATAACTTCTCGTTGAGTTGCAATTTCATCATCCAATAAATTTAAATAGTGGGTGGCAAAAGAATATTAAATAGGTTTATCAACAGATTCAAACACGTACTGTGCACTTCGTAGGTCATCAAACTAGTACAGATTATCCTGGCTTTTAACTTATACCATATAATTTTATATGTCTTTTCTTTTGTATAATATTAATAAATATTATTATTACTCTCTAAAAGGATATACACTGAAAGTTATTTAGACGTTTACATAGAACTCAAATTGAAACTTCTGAATAAAACAAAAAGTTTCCAGCTAAGCTTCACTGCACTTAGACCCATTGTGCATGCTCCAGGACGCATATAGGCTGTCTCAAATTAGAAGATGTCGCCCAGATGTGTCTCTCTCTCTCTTCAATAGGCTAAACATACTTGGGATCTATTATATTTATTCTTAGTATATACCAGAGGAAACTGAAGCTTTACTTATTTGGCCTATAAATATTGCATTATTTATGCTAATTACAATTTTGAGATTTAAGATTGGCCCATTAGGAAAAATCCAAATATAAATACTTTCACATGGAATTATTTATAGTTTGTTAAAAATTTAATATTTTAAATACAGTGTATATCTAAAAAATATGTAGTATACTTTTTTTGACCAAATTCATATTTTTTTTATCTACCTCGTATGTGGTACCAACATTTTATAATATTTATGAAGTTTATATTCTGTGTTAGGTCATGCAGAAACTTTTACCAAGAATAAAAAAAAATTGATAATCTAATAATAAAGTTTATCGATTTTTGTGGTCAGATCTAACTAAGTTTATAACTCAAACTGTACTAAACAGCCTTTGTTCAATGATAAGCATATTAAAAATATCTTAAACATATGAAATCTAGTACAATAGTACTAGTCCTGGGGCAGTTATGTTTCAAAACGTGATTTTGAGGTGATACCAGATTAACATTCTTTCAATAGGTTTGTTCCAACAAGAATCCAAATCCGTATTACCTTCAGACTCATGCACTTTGTATGTTTCAATAAACTTCAAATCAAATCACTGATTGTAAGTCCAGTGTACCAACAAATATGCACATAATTATAGCAGATAAAGACTGTTTTACTGGATTACATCATTTGTTTCGAATTTCATAAATAATAAAATATTAAGTATTTTGTGTGAATTTTGTAAACAATAATTGAGGATATCCTTCCAATCTGGTGAATTATCTACAAGTGAAGATGATTTAGTAGAAGTATTATTTAGCTAAAATGACAGAAATGCTCTCCAACAAGAATTCAGTCAGAAAACACTCACAAATAGAGTCACACTTGTGCAATAAATATATCAGAGATTAATTTCGGATCGATCATGGGTTATTTGTTGGACCAAACCTATTATCACACTTTCTAGTGTTCAAATAGAATATGAAAATTTTACAAAGTCAACCATATAGATAATGAATCTTGCAATAACCAGCGAATTTCAAACAATCAACAATAGTCGAAAAGTCATCAAATAACTCGACCATCGTCGGAACGTGTCATATACAAACATATCAACAAAGAGGAGCTGCAGTTACGAAGGTCAGGAGTCTCTGGCCGAGTCCATCGTACATACAGTTCAGTCGAAATCTCGCATCCCATCATCGCCGCCTCAAACCATCAACGAACCAACAATTTGGTCATATCCAAAAATTGTGGCTATTTCTTCCATACGAAATACCTCGATGTGGTGGCATTGGCAACCATTCAATTCAACCAAAATTTTTTTAACGTTTTACATGATCCTATTGCAAGTGGGTGTGTTTTAAAAATAAAATTTTGTCTGCATTGTAGCTCGGGCCGAAACAAATTAATGCGCGAATCCCAATCGACGTTCTTCTTTTTTTTTTTAAATCTTGATCCTCTTCTCAGCCCCGGCCCGCCCCCTGCCTACACGTTGGGCTACAATGCGCTAAACCCGGTCACCGCGGAACACCCTTAAAACATTTAATTTACTTCAATTTCATTTCTATTTTTTTGTTATATAAAATTATCTGCCCATTATTTTTTGTATTGTTTTAGCGTTTCAGATAGTGCGAGTGGGTGCGTCATTCGATAAGCGTGAGGAATAAGAAGTGTGAATTACATCTTGCATGAATTTCTTGCAAACTGGCCGGATTTCTTTGCTGAGGGTCGCACTGAACATCATTACTTGTTTGCCGTGCGGAGTGTTACGGTATATTTCTTGGACGTCGCGTCTCATATCTGAAAAGAACGATCCTTGTTAATTAGGCCTACTGTAAATTGAAGTCCTGTACACAACAAATTACAGGAAAATGACGGCAGTAATGATTTTGGACCTGTTTTAGATGTCTTACCTAATAGTTCCAACATTTTATCGCACTCATCAAGAATAAAATGCTTTAAATGCTTGAGATTGAGTTTCTTAGATCTGACAAGAGCCAAAATACGTCCAGGCGTGCCAACGACAATATGGGGACAGCTGGCTTTTAATACTTCCTCGTCTTTTTGAATGGGCAGACCTCCGAAAAATACACCGACCTTGATGTTGAGCATGTATTTACTGAAACGTTCGTATTCTTTGCTAATTTGGAAAGCCAACTCACGCGTATGGCACATGACGAGGACGTAGACGGCATTTTCGGTCGGGTCTAGTTGTTGGAGAGTGGCTAATACGAATACGGCGGTTTTACCCATACCACTTTTTGCTTGGCAAAGAATGTCCATGCCAATAACAGCCTGAGGAATGCACTCATGCTGAACTGTAAACAAATTATATAATTGAAGCATGTAAATACCAAAGACACTAAGTGCCAAAATATGTCGGGGTGGGCAAAATAATCGATTGGGTTTTTTTTTTTTTTTTTATTTATCACCCAACTGATTAATCGAAAATAATATTAATCGCACAGCTCTAAATAAAGTTTAATATTTTGAAAAAAGAAAAATCAATTTTCCAAATTAAATCTACAGAACTTCAGATATTAACCTTCCTAACAAAATTTCTATAAACGACAAAAAATCGTTAAAAGTGAACGAAATAAATAAAAAAATATTAAATCTTGATTTAGGTGGACATAAAACAACTCCCAACATGTAGTAATGAATTAACCTTCGTAGAGGTTGAATTTATTTCGCTCCTACAAAATCCTGATTTTCAGACGGAAAACCACGGACTTTTAAGTTGTTTTTCATATCAAATTAAAACTCAATTTATTATCTGACCATTGTGAGTGATATCTAGTGTAAAATGTCTTCAATACTAAGTGAAACGGCATTTTAATAAAAGTAATTAAACCAAGTTTTTTTATCGCTTTTTTTTGTTATTTTACGATCAAGCAGTGACAACAACTTTTTGTGATAAGGACAATTTTAAATCTAATTGAAAGTGGCTACTGTTCCATTCTAACGTCGTTTTACTCAGCAGGATAGATAAATATAGAAAATGGGCAAATCTTTTTAAGTGCTGTCAGAACAAAATATTTGGAAATTATATATGTATCAGATGTATAAATATTTTTCATCCAAGTTGTCTCGAGAGGATGAAAAATGTTAAAATGTTGAAGGGGTATAGGGTGATCTGTTCTATCGAGTGCGCTGAAAAAGATGATAACTGTGTCGGAGTTGAAAATGATCCTGAAGAGTTATTGAAAGAGCTAAATGAACTGTCAGGAAATAAAGTTATAAAAATGGGCAACTTAAAAAATCTTATGAAAATTTGGAGATTCTAAAGAATGAAATTAAAATTTTAACAGAAAAAATATAGAAATTAGAGCAGAACTGGAACTGAGTCAGGAACATTTGCTTGTAATGGAGAAAACTAAAGAAGAACTAACAGACATCCAAAAGAGATTGTTAATTTCAATTGAAACCCTAGAAAAGGATAAAGAAACCTACCAAAACGAGTTGATAGATCTGAAATCGACACTGTTATTGAAAAAACCAAATGACCACAAGTGTGTTTGACTTACCAGGAAAACGCCTTTCAAAAAATGTATTAAATAAACGAAGTGCAAAGTACTTCTTCGAAAAACATATTAATATTAGGCGACCAAGCGGCTATTAACTTAAATAAATATATGAGATGGTCTCGTGAATTCAAAAGTTTCAACATTCAATTTATTATTAAACCAGGAGGGAATTTTGACAATGTACTGGAGAATGTAGCTGAATTAGTAAAAACATTTTCATTATCTGATTTTGTGATTGTAGTACCAGGTGCTAATGATTTTGACATGTCCAGGGTTCCTAAATTCAGATATATTTGTTCTAAACTGAAACTATGTAGGCACACTAACTTTATAATAGTGTATGTTCCAATTTTGAGAAGACACAGTGACAAAAACCTAATCAAGAAATTTAATTTGAAATTAGACCATTTTCTGGATAAGTTGGACAATTATACAGAAGGTAGAATGTTATATGTAAATAACAATTCTGAGCAAGGCGTCAAACTAAAACTGTCCAATATCATACGAAAAATTAGTGCAGCAATAAGTAATAGCAAAAATGTCTGTAAAAATTTAAAAATTTTTAACACTGTGAAATCTAAAAATACAAACTGTAACATGTCTACTAACTTGGGCTCTATAGATTTGACAGGTCTAAATAATTTTACAGTTCTTCCTATTAATAATAGTAACTTGGGCTCTATAGATTTGACAGATTTAAATAATTTAACTCTTCTTCCTTTTGATAATAGTAACTTGGGTTCCATAGATTTGACAGGTTTAAATAATTTAACTGTTCCACCTTTTGATAACGTATCTATCACACCCACAGTTATAAGAATTTTCCCACATGTCTCAAACTCAAGATCCAAATTAAAAAGTACAATAAATATATTATATTTAAATGCTGAGAGCTTGGTGGCCCATATTGATGAAATCTTTAATTATGTGTTGTCAAAAAACAAAGTTTAGTATGTATTTCTGAAACTTGCTTGACTGAGGATATTTATGATTCAGAAATAGACATTGACGGATACAAAAATTATAGAGATGACCATGGAGACTACACAAGGAGCAGGCACTCCATGTATAACAAGCGTACTGTGTTAAACAGAGTATTTTAAGAGGGCGCTAGTGTTCCATAAGTACCAAAATGGCATAAGAGAATGAGGCGGTAGTTTGAAATAAAATAAATAATTCTAATTAATTATAACTCTAATTATATTTATTTAATTTAAAAACATTTGACACGTGTTTACGTTAATTAAATAATCGGTTACTTTATTTTCACGCTAACTTCACATTTGTTTATTCCTCTATATTCACACTGGTACCAAAGAAAAATTAGCGACGCTAGTGGTGAAAAAAGAAAGCTTTATTTATACGATAAAGCGCGGACATACTCTGGCAAATGCCACATTTGAGTGCATGCTCCTTGTGTAGTCTCCATGGAGTTGACAGTGAAAGTAGACACACAGGGGGTGCTTTAATTTATGTACAAAGTTCAAACGGAAGGTTCTAAAATATTTTAAATTTTGTATTCCAAAAATTTGTTGGATTGTTTCTGTGATGGTAATATTAGGAAACAAAAATTTTTTCATTGTATCTTTATATAGGTCACCTAGCAGTAGCTGTATAAATTTTTTAGATTGTTTTAGCACTTGGGCTGAAGAAAATTTATGTGATAATTCTCAAATAGTTATTGTTTCTGGAGATTTTAATATTGACCTGTTAACTAGAAACACTTACAGTGCGAAATTAAGTGATACTTTGATTGATGCTGAATTAAAAAATATTGTTACAGAATGCACAAGACCAAATAGAAGTGGTGGAGGTTAGTGTCTCAAAAAAACCGACTATTTTTTTTTTTCTAAAGAACATTGAAAATTCGTCAGAGTATCTCCAGAAAATGACCCTGTGAAAATATGAGCTCTTAATATTAATATTTAGAGGTGGCGTTTTGTAATTTTCCATTTCCCATTTAAATAACATGGGATTTTTTTTTAAACTTTGGAATTTTGTAACTTGATAACGAGCTACTTTATAAGTATGACGAAATTACCCCTTATAGGAAATTTAATGCTCTACAAAAAAGGTCTGATTGACTTTTTGCGTAAGTTTAAAATTGTGCTTTTTTTTTTCTTAAATACAAAAAATCAATTTATATGTATTTAAAACACAAAATTATCAACTTAAGAATAAATATATGCATATATTTGATGGAATGTAGATCTAAAATTATTCTTAATAATTTGATAAATGATAATTTTTATTGATTTTTAGCAAAAAATATTCACTTACCTAAAAAAATTTGGTAGAAGTTACTATAAATTTATTTATATTATGTATCAATAATCCATTTTAATTAATAACAGATTGATTGGCTTATTAATAGATTAAACAGTAATAACAGTTAAATACAAGATCTATACATTTCTAGTTATCTTCTTAGCAGTAACATCTACAATAAATTTTTTTACGCATTTACTCAAAAATTCAATCAGACCTTTTTTGTAGAGAATTAAATTTCCTATAAGGGGTAATTTCGTCATACTTATAAAGTAGCTCGTTATCACGTTACAAAATTCCAAACTTTAAAAAAAAATTTCCCATGTTATTTAAATGGGAAAGAAAATTACAAAACGCCACCTATAAATATTAATAGCTCATATTTTCACAGGGTCATTTTCTAGAGATACTCTGACAAATTTTCAATGTTTTTTGAAAAAAAAAAAAAAAAAAAAAGTCGGTTTTTTTGAGACACTCTAGTGGAGGTACACTAATAGATTTAGTTATAACAAATAATGACTCGGTTTCAGCTGAGGTTATCAAAACACCAAGAATGCGCTAGTTCAGTGATGATGTAATTATGGTTCCACTGACAATTAAAGTGACAGTAGATTTTTTGAGTACGTTTTGTTCGTTTTGTTTACCTAAATTATATCGTTTTTTTCACTTTTATAAATATATTCCTAAAGTAAGTAGATAGCATGTATCAAAAATAATAATAATAATAATAATAATAATAATGTCTTTATTAAATAAATTATTACATTACATTTGCACCAAGAAGGCGAAGATTAGCTGAAGCTACTCTTTAACTCTTAACCTTCTTGGTTTACAAAAGAAAATGAAAATAAATAAATGAAAAAAGTAGTTAAAAAAGGACAAAAGCATTGAAAGAGTTGTCAAACAATAGTAATTAAGTAAAAAATATAAAATAGAATTTAAATTAAATGTTCAGATTACAATTACATATACAATTGTTTAGTTACCAATTACATACCTTTAAACTATTTTTTATGACCTGTAAAGAATATTTTGAAATAAAATAAAAACAGTAAAAATGTATATGTCAAATTTATTGATGTTTTTGTTAAAAGGTTGGTTAGAATTAAATGTCAGTGGAACCAAAATGACATCACACTGAACTAGCGCATTTCAGATCATTTTATGCTTTTAACAAATGTGCTATTAAATAGTGATGGGCTAACTGTTTTTGAAATTGAAAGCAGAGGTAAGGACTTAAATTTTGATTTAATTAATAACAAACTTTCAACATTAGCATGGAACTATCATATTTATGACATTAATGTAAAATATGATAATTTGATAATTTTGTAACAAATATTTTAAACGTATTAGATTCTGTAGCACCAAAAAACAAAAATATTTCCTAAATAAAAAAAATGGTGGAATGAAAATGTAAAAGCTGCCACAAGGTACAGAGACCTTGTATATAAAAATTATTCACAAAAAAAAAAAAAATTGGAATGAATACAAAATGCATAGAAATAGGGCCGTTAACGTAATTAGAACAGAAAAAGTAAACACAGAGTAAAATATTTACGAAAGTAGGGGAAATTCAAAGAAAATGTGGAAATTGTTGAATGTCTGATTCCAAAAAATAATAAGTCTAATAACTTAATTAAACTTGCACTAGAAAATAATGTTATTATAAAAAATATTTTTGACATGCCAAATGCTCTTAATAAATTTTATAGACAGTATACAATCGATTGCTAGTATGATTGATTGTACAATACCAGATTTTCAAATTTTAGACAGACACAATGGACATTTTCTTGGAAAATTTCAACTATGTACAGTGGATTCTTTAAGAGACATGAAAAAGTAGCATATATGACATTAGCATTAATATTTCCCAACCTCTCAGAACCGCTTTTAAATTTGATAAATTCGTCATTAGAAATTTCAAAAATACCTAATGCTCTAAAAATTGATATGGTAGTGCCTGTTCCAAAGACAAAAAAACGCAAATAAAGCTAAAGATTTGGCCTATTAGTATGTTAAGTTGTATCGAAAAAATCATTGAAGTTTATGAACAAATTGTTAATTTTTTAGAACAAAATAAACTTATTACTAGAATACAATCGGGCTTCAGAAGCAAACATAACTGTGAATCAGCTATCCAGTGTGTTTTATATGATTGGAAATATATATTTAATAAAAACTATCTAACATTGGCAGTTTTTATAGATCTTCAAAGGGCATTCAGGATCAAAACTGTATAATAAAAAAATTTAAAAGTATGGGTATAGTAGAGCAAGCATTGAAGTGGTGTGTGGATTATCTAAGTAAGAGGAAACAAAAGTTAAAAGTAAATAACATTTTGTCAGAGGAAATTAAAATATCAGAGGTGTTCCGCAGGGAAGTATATTGGGTCCCCTGTTGTTTTTAGTGTATATCAATGACATTGTTGATTTCAATGATCAATGTGACATTCACCTGTTTGCTGATGATGCCCTAATATATTTTTCTAGTAAGGATTCATATAACTTGGTAAGAGTTGTTAATGAAACACTGCAACATGTTTATAAATGGTGTTGCAATAATTTCTTGAAAATTAACACAAATAAAACAAAATGTATGCTGATAAGTAGCAACTATAACTATACACAGTTTGTTGATAAACAATATAACATAACAATTGGAGGAAATTCTATACAGTTAGTAGAAAAATTCAATTACTTAGGGGTAATGATTGACAAGCAGATGAGATTCATAGATCATGCCAACACTGTTATCAAAACTATTGCATTTAAGTTAAATTTCCTACTTAGAAGTTCATTTGGCTTATCACAGTGGACTAAATGTATTATATATAATACTATAATTCTACCTCAAATTTCCTACTTAGAAGTTCATTTGGCTTATCACAGTGGACTAAATGTATTATATATAATACTATAATTCTACCTTACTTTAATTATTGCTCTACAATACTCTTTTTACTAAATCAAAATGAGTTGAACCAACTACAGAAGCTGCATAATAGGGCTATGCGAATAATATTATCCTGTTCAAAATATACTTCCATTAATCTAATGCTTGAAACTTTGAGGTGGATGCCAATCAAAAGTCTCTTATTATGGAATGAGTTAATTTTTATTTATAAAATCAAACACAGGTTACTTTCAATGTACCCAAAAGAGAAGCTTAATTATCACTCTAATGTGCATAATTATCCAACGTGGAACAGAAATATCTTTTATATTGAAACAGTCGTTAAGAGTGCAACACAAAATTCACTATTTTTTAAAGGTCTAAATCAATATAATGCACTTCCAGAGAAAATTAAATCAGTAACTACATTTAAAGTCAAAGTGACAGATTTCTTAATTGATGAATATTTCTCCAGAAACAGTAACAACCTATAGAATTTTAGTTAGTTTTAATTGTATCTAAATTATCTATGATTTGACTTATATGTATATTTTTACTAAATTTGTATATTAGCAAACTAGCTAAATAAAGTAAATAATAATAGAAATACCATTTGAGTTACATGTACCCTTTTACCAAAAACTATATTGGCACTTTTTACAAAAATATTTAAGTACCAATTTTAATTTTGAATTTTCAATAGATATGATTGATTTTCCATTCTTTTAGATATAAGGTTCTTTTGTTCCTCCCACTGGTGTAGGAATGAACTACACCAATGGAAACTAAACTAAAGGTGTAAAATCGACTACACCTTTCTGTCGACGATGTGGTGTCCACTGGTGGATATTTTCTCCATCAGCTATTTAGCAAGAGTGAATTACACTTGACATGTGTATAAGGATTAAGGAGGAAGTAAATCAGGTGGTGTCATTTATACTGGTGGACACTGTACCAACAGCGAATGACATAAACTATTTTGTACAAAAATTTCATAATAAAAATAAATATGTTGATATTAACCATTTTTTTTAAGTAATTACTCAAAACTAAAAAAATTGCATTCATTGCTTTTGGTACTTTCATACTTTAATTTATTAACTTCTATCTTTTAAATTGTTGGCGCCAATGTGATTTACTGCTAGGCAAATAAAGTCCCATGATGTTTATTCTTTGGTACACTATTCTGGTACAAAATCGCCTAAATTAATTGTATGATTTACAAATAGTATACCAAATATACTTACTAATGATCCCTTCCTGTGCATTTCAATATCTGCACTTAGATAATCTGAATATAAACAGCTAATATGTAAACAAAAATGGGACATCTCATAACACATAAAAAAAATCGGAAAATTAACTTACCTTCAGAAGGGTGTTCAAAACCACAATCTACGATAGCTCTGAGGATTTCTGGTTTTAAAAGAAAATCTCGAAAACCTGAGCTGTGAATTGAGACGTACGTCCCTTTCACACCTTTCTTTTGAACCTCTGTTGTGGTAGTTTCAGTTGTGGTCTGTTCTGGATTTTCCTCATCTTCGTAATCTAATAGATCATCAGCATCGGCCATTTTATTAATATATGCTGTTTACTGTAACAAGTAATAAATATACAATCATTAAAATGTTATGGACATTACTCAATAAAATGGCAGAATATCCAAGCAAGCGGCTTTGGTTTTTCTAAAATTATCAACAAAATTCTACTTAGAGAAAAAAATACTTATGTCACAACAAAAACTATATTTGTACAATTGTATATATCAATAATTAATATAAAAATTTAATTAGATGACTACTGATTATTAAAACTTACTTTAAATTTTAAATAAGCTTCTCCAAAAGATACGTATCAAACGACGCTTCACTTCTTTTCTATTTTCTTTGCCTTGCGTCTGCGCCTTCTCTTGTGTTTACGATTACGATGTTTGTCGCTTGTCTGCTGTCAGCTATCAATCGTTGTTTTTTTAGCAACTCTAACGAGTGGTAGAGCGAGTGGTAGAGCGAGTTCCATGTATGCAAATTGACAAAATCATTTTCACAGGAGCAATTTGGTCCAAAAAAAACTTACAATAAAATGTTTTTAGAAAGAAAAATAAATGCTGCTGTTGTGAGCATTTCCCAGGGTTTCTCTTCGTTTCAGCTCGGATAACGCATTCCATTCCAGGCCACGATGAACTTTCCAGTTTCTAGGCATTCCAAAACTCAACGCAGTCACTCTAGACCTCCTCTAGACTTTAGAAGGCCTGGACCATGGAGGAAGGATAATTAGTATGGACAATCGATCTGGGCAGGGATTCTTATGTACGTACTCATCACTTAACGAATTGAATAGAGAGACATTACATACGAAACGCATTCTGTGGAACGAAGAAAGTGCCGAATTTTGAAAGATGAGAATCCCAATAATACTGTTCTGGTTCTTCAGAAATATGTTGAAAACTGTTCGAATACCAACTGACCAGTGGAGAGTTTAAAAGTTTTACGCGACGAATAATTTGGTATTCAATTGTTCCACTGGATTTCGGACGGTTCGCAGCACATTTTGAAGAAACCAGCAGTGGGATTCTCATCTTTTAATTCGGCACGTGTTGAGAAGCTTCTATCTTCGTTTCACAGAATACGATTTGTATGTAATGTCTCTCTCTCTCTCTATTTGATTCGTTACGTGTTGAGTACGCATATAAGAATTCCTATCCTGAACAAGCCAATAGATGCCGCGTTTGAGAATCCACATCAGATGCATCCATAGATAAATTAATTATTATTATTAATTTATCTATGGATGCATCTGAGATGTAAAAAATCTTTGATCACGTGATTCAGTATACGTAAATGTAATGGGACAGATGTGTCCGATGTGGGTAAAAGAACGCTCGAGATGTAAAAAATGCATCCGATGTGGATTCTCAAACGCGGCAAGAGAGCATACTCTAGAGTTACAGTGACTTTGAGTTTTGTTTTAGCATTAGCTTGGTTTTAGCTTTAGCTAATCTAGTAATCCATCCACCTCACATACTTCGAATGTGATCGACCTACAACACCTACAATCTATGGATTATGAAGACTAGTCTTCATACTATGGATATATGTCAGCTATATCAAGCTAGCGGGCACTCTGTGGCGGCACCATTCAAGACCTGGCGGGTTTTTTGTAACTTTTTTGTAGCTTTTTTGTTACACTGTTTGCAAATTTGTAGCTCAGCCCAAATCCGAAAAAACAGCGGATCCGCTAGCTTGAATTTTCACAAATTCCATAGTAGCGGCACAGATTCAGACCCAGCTAGTGTTTCGTAACTTTTTTGTAGCTTTTTTGTTACGCTAGTCTCCCGTTTGTAGCTTGTACTGAACCTGAGAAAAGCGCGGATCCGCTAGCTTAGCGGATATTTGTAGCGGCACCAGCCCGGACCCGGCTCATTTTTTGTAACTTTTTTGTAGCTTTTTTGTTACGCCTGTCTCGATTTCGTTGCGAGGCCTGAACGTGAGTAATAATCGTTTCTCCATGAGCGTGAGAGAAAAGTGCGTTAAATTAAAATCAAGTTTCGGCCTCTATAAGTAATATGTGCAACTCGATAGTGTGACTATCTGTTGCTAGATGGCACCAGTATTGCATTTCACGAATTATGGCCATCTTCCATCAAATATATTTTTGAGAAATTTAGATATAATCTCAAAATCAGACATTTTCAACGGTATGTATATTAATTATTTGTCCGATAGTAATGTAAAATACATATTGACAAGATTATTAAAATAGTTGTATGTCGGACGCCACTATTTTCCCGATCGGGTGTTCTCGGTTATTTTTACTGCTAAAAACTTACTGCTAACTTCACACCGGTGGTAATACCTATTCTCACTATATACAGGGTGTTCCATCTCAGACGAGCCTCCCCGTATAGTTCTTATCCCATAGTAATTGGAAAAATTTCCCGAAACACGTCTGATGATTTTCTTTGGGTGACATTTGACGTATATTTGAGGCTTGAACGAGCAACCCCCTACAAGGGGGCGCTCCCTCAAAATTGAATAGGGAAGAGGGGTTGGGTGATACTTCATTTGTAAGGTCCTGAAAGCCTCTTTACAACGGTGTATGAAAAAAATCACATTCTTAAAAAAAATCAATTGTTTTATCATGCTTACAATCAAAAAAATCAAAACTTTTTAAATGAAATGTTCAATTTGTCTTCCATTGACTTCCATGCAATAATAAATTCTCTCGAACTAATAAATAAAAAAATCAAAACATTTTCTTATCTTGCCTTCATTTTTTGCTCTTAGAAGGTTTATCACATCTCTTCGATCATTTGATGTGATAAAACAATTAATTTTTTTTAAGAATGTGATTTTTTCATACACCGTTGTAAAGAGGCTTTCAAGACCTTACAAATGATGTATCACTAAATCCTTTTTCCCTATTCCATGTTGAGGGGTTGAAGCTCCCCCCATAGGGGGTTGCTGGTTTAAGCCTCAAATATACGTCAAAAGATGTCCCCCAAAGAAAATCATCCGACGTGTTTCAGGAAATTTTTCCAATTACTATGGGGTGGCTCGTCTGAGATGGAACATAGTGTATAGTTGTGATCCGACAAAATTAAATACTGGTTCATAAATACTGCAAAACGATTGGTTAAGGAAATCATTCAAAAAAGATGTAAGAATATTCTTGATTCAACAAAAGTATAAAAACATAAACAACACTAAAAAACATTTAAAAACAAATGTTCGATTTTGAGATTATATATAAATTTCTCAAAAATATATTGGATGGAAGATGGCCTTAATTCGTGAAATGCAATACTGGTGCCATCTATCAACAGATAGTCTCACTATCGAGTTGCACATATTACTTGTAGATGCCGAAACTTGATTTTAAATTAACGCACTTTTCTCTCACGCTCATGGAGAAACGATTATTACTCACGTTCAGGCCTCGCAACGAAATGGAGACAGGCGTAACAAAAAAGCTACAAAAAAGTTACAAAAAATGAGCCTGGTCCGAGCTGGTGCCGCTACAAATATCCGCTAAGCTAGCGGATCCGCGCTTTTCTCAGGTTCAGTACGAGCTACAAAAGGGAGACTAGCGTAACAAAAAAGCTACAAAAAAGTTACGAAAAACCAGCTGGGTCTGAATCTGTGCCGCTACTATGGAATTTATGGAAATTCAAGCTAGCGGATCCGCTGTTTTTTCGGACCTGGGCAAAGCTACAAATTCGCAAATAGCGTAACAAAAAAGCTACAAAAAACCCGCCAGGTCTTGAATGGTGCCGCCACAGAGTGCCCGCTAGCTTGATAGAGCCATATATGTCACCCGCTATGCAATTAGGCATTCCAAACTGAATGGTTACCAGTGGGTTTTGACGGGTTATGATATGGCAACCCTGTAGGCCTGGTGATTTGACAAGGTCAATGAAATAGTTATGCTGCGTTTGAGAATCCACATCGGATGCATTTTTTACATCTCGAGCGTTTTTTTATCCACATCGGACACATCTGTCCCATTACATTTACGTATACTGAATCACGTGATCAAAGATTTTTTACATCTCAGATGCATCCGATGTGGATCACAAAGCATGTATCTTCTAGAGACCCCACGCCAATGTTAAACTTTTAAACCAAATTAGCGCCACCTTGTGTTTGGAGCTGGAACTAAAATGACAATTGACAGATGGCGGTAAATTCAAATTGTAACTTTTAGGAGTAGGTAGTAGTTTTAAATTAAATTTTAAATGATTTCCACATAAATTATTTTATAAAATAAAGTATGGAACTAGTAAGTTCGAAACTTTTATTTTACAAAATAATTTAGGTCGATTATACCAAATTTGAAGAATTAATTTGTTATAAGGGGTCTAATGTGGAGAGTTGGTTCTGCATATTTTTATTAAATAAATATAAGATATATCAATAAATAATAAAATAGAACATTCTTAAAATATGTTTATTAATAACTTAAATAAATATTATTAGATAAAAATAAATACAAATAATAATACATATTTAACGAATACTTACTTGGAGCAAATAGATATATAATCTCAAATCTTTAAAATACCTATCAATAATTTAAATGTGAAGTAGAGACTAGGATATTACATTTTATTAACACTAAAGTTATATATTTTATAAATGTCTTTTTAACTGAGGACAAATGTAATATAGGTATTGTATTAAAAGGTGAATCCTTTTAACTATTCATTCAATGATAAATAGGTATTTTCCTTCCAAATACAGATGGTGGTAATACTCTCTTTTGTGAAAAATGATTTCGGAATCTAGTCCAGTGATAAATTGATTATCAATTAGTTGTTGTCCCCGTTTGTTTTTTTATGATGCAGATGCATGGTGAATATATGGTGAATATATGGTGAATCAATGAAGTTTTTCTCGAAGTAGCACCAAAATTATTGCAAAACACAGTAGGAAATAAAAAAGCGAAACATCACAATTTTGCAAATAACTAAGACGAAACTATAAACAGAAACCAAAAGCCAAAGCTAACAAAAAATCACTAATTTCAGACGGAAAAATGAAACTAACCAAGAACATAAATAAAAACACGTCACATCTTTGGAGTCTTTGGTTAAGTTTTTCTTCCATAAGGCTTAAAAATGGAGTAAGAAATCATAATTTCACCAGTAGCCCCATCTAGAGTTTGGAGCAAATAGCATAAAAAATGTCAGTTGTCGGTTTTGACCTTGGTCATTCACGTGGAACCTCTATGTGCTTTGTGATGTGGATTCTCAAACGCAGCAATAGATTGATCATCCATATTTTTCAAAATAAACATAAGCTTATGCCTTGAAGTAAAATGTAAGCAATTATTTTTTTTTAAATATCTAAAGGCTAAAAATTGGTTTTAAAACACATTTTTGCTAAACCGATTTAAATTAATAAATATTTGCCAGGCAATATGGCCGCTCGCAAACGACCAGCTTTGAGCAATCTATATAACTATATATGTATCATTGACCCTGTTAATGACAGCATGACAACAGGGTTGCCATATCTAAACTGTCATTACCCACTGGTAGCCATTTGGACAGGTCGTTGGAATGCCTAATTTGTATTGCAGTATTATCGTTAGTTGAAGCTGTACCGGTTTGTTTTGAATACAAAATGGAATAATGAATTTAAACAATAATAAATTAAATGAATGGCCTACTTTTTTTTAAACTACCCTCCAAATTTTATAATTATGGCGTTGGCGTTACTGTCCTTGTTTTATGGCCTCTTTTTACGAGACGAAGAGGTCATATTTTCATATTTAAGTTATGAGTAAAGTAATTGTTCTGTGTTATGAGTTATTAAAAAATTAAAACTATATATATCTTAATGTTATAAATGTTTTAAAACTTTTTATGATATCGTCATGCATCTAAATTTTCTATAATGAATATACGATCTTGTTTTTTGTTTTGTAATCCTTTGGTTGAATTATTTATTTTAATTTGGCAACACTGTAGCTAGTCAATGGTGAAATGTCGGATTCATCTTGTAATCTTGTGTTGTCAATGCATTTTCAATTTTATAAATAGTTGCAATAATAAATTAGTGACTTTTCTTTGTGGTTCTTTGAAAATAAATAAAATTCAATTAATCTTAAACGTCATGGAACAACATTTTTAAGAGTGAAGGAGTATATTGTTGCAAATATACATTTTTATTGTGTAATGATTCCCTACGTCAGCGCTTGGTAAATTATCTTTTTTATTGTAAATTTGTGCACATTTTACATTGAAGTGGAATCCATCATCTGCATACTTATAACCATACAAATGATAACAAAAAACCACATTTCAAAATTTCCTCTAAGGACCTATCGTTGTCTTTAAATTGTTGCAATTATGAAATATTTTAAGTGGATTCCAACTCAAATATTGGTGTAGAAATTAGAAAACTAGTGTAGACAAGTTTCATTATATCAGTGGTGATTTGTTGTAGGAGTAATTACTCATGTATTGTTTGCTACACTACTTATTTTTTATTTAAGGTCTTTTATTTGATTATTGATGATGGATCAAGCACAGGGTGGTAGTGTGGCAAGCTCTGGTTTTCACCAGCTTAGCATAACTGGTAAGTCCCAATCTTAATTATGAATCATAAAAAATTATTGAATATCTCAAAGTCCATTTATATAAATAACTGTGAGGCTTTTTGGTTCACAATAAAATGAAGCTTTAATGATGAGATTTATATTGAAATTTTAGATACTTTTGTAGATAAGCCAATTGTTACATTAAAATTTCTAACAATTTTTAATTTAAAAGCTAGTTATTGTTTTCTTCTGAATATTTTTACCTTTAGATATCATAATATATGGAGTGTTATTTTAAATATTTACAATGGCTATATTTCATGAACTAGGTGGTCCTATCAGAAAGTAAAGCAAAAAAATATTTTGTACTCCTTGACTACAAATATTTAATAAAGATAAACATGTCATCTTTTTTAATAGGTTTTTAATTATATACTACTGAAGCACCCTAAATAGGGTACAACTTATATAGTTAAAATATATTTTTTCTAGCTTTCCAATGATATGACAAGTGGGGTTGAATATTTATAAACTTATGAATTAAAAAAAAAAGAAATGTAAGTGACAAAATAAAGTTACAAGTATTTTGATTCCTTTAAATTTGCCATGACTATATCTCATGAACTAAAAATGATATCAAAACTAGCTAAAAAAGCTAAAATCAACCAAAAAAGTGGAATTCACTAAATGTGGCAACACTAACAAAGTCAGAGTGGTCAGACTAAGTGAAACACTGTTGTTTTTTGATTACAATGGTAATAGAATTCTATTACATTTTGGTTTGTCATTACTACAATTAGGCTGTCCAGAACATGTGACCCTGGCCCTTTAAAAATGGCGACATGTAGACATACAAACATATATGGTTTACATTGAAGAAGATAGAATTATTGGTATTTTTTTTATGTTAAAAAGTGAATATTTTAGTTATTGTAATATTTGTTTTGTTTTTAATTATTAAAACCATCTATAAACTTTATTAGTTATAGTCAGCTGACTTTTCATCATATTTTGAGATTATTTTTAAATATTTATTAGGTTATGTACAAAGCTTGACATTGATTTTTCACACATCTCAAAATAATATATATTTTTTAAATACCTTTTATTAGCAAATAATTATTTTATAAGATCAGTCCTATCACAATACATATTACACAGGTACAAATAATAATAATATAATCAAGGCTAAAACAATACATAATAGACTAAAAAAATAGGTACAATAAAAATGATAAAGTCAAAGTTTGAAAATTATTCAATAGGTATATCAGTACCTGGCAGGTAAATTGCACTGTCATTCTAGTCAACTTTTCAGTAGAGCAGACTGAATGTTGTTTGAACACTTTTTGTGTTTAATATTTACAATTGGAAAAAATATAATTATATTTCGACAAGAAATGTTTACTAATAATCTAACTAATAAAAATTTTTTTTTAATATACATGAATTGTTGATTTTTGTATCATATTTCTATGTTCTGATAACAAATTTTCTATGACATAGTTCATATACATTCTATGAATAATTTGACTAACGTGAAAGTTAAAAACATTATGTGCACATGGTGTTGTTTAACTCATAAGTTTATTGAACATAGTGTTACATTTTTTTGGTCAACTTTTATTGTAACATCACTAATACATGGTATATTATACCCCCTGAAAAGATCTCGATGAGCTAATTTTAAAAATATAACTTTATAAAACCACTATGTTGACATACAGGGTGTACCAATAAAAACTCCTGGGCCGGATATTTTGGTAAGTAATAGAGATATTTTAATTCTGTAAAAACCAGATCATAGAGCGCTAAGAGAGCTTCAGTTTTAGATATAAATTAATTTTAAATAGGTCAATATGTAGATGGCGCTACGCTCAATATTTCTTTTTCGATGGGAGGATCTTATATAGCGCATCTTGTAAAAAATTCATTTTTAAGCAGATTTTGTTCTATAAAATAATTCGATAAATCTAGCCATTTTTGATATACAGAGTGGGTCACTCAAAACAGTTTCATCCTGTTTTTCAGCATTAATAATTGGATTTTTGGAAAATGCTGAAACAGGTTGATTTTTATTCAAAATTGAACACATTTTTACAACATAGTCATGTGTCAACCCCCTCCCTTCTATTTCTCCAACCCCTTAATTTTAAATAAGGAATGTACCATGTACAGCACATCATTGAAAAGGTAATTTTATGGGGAAGTCAGAAATATGACTGTTTATTGCGATACTTTTAATTTTAGCGCCCTCTATCGGAATAAAAAAACGTGTAACGTATTATAAAGTGTGATACTTCATTTGAAAGCTAATTTAATTAATAATTCAATACACCACATAACATTAATATAAATATTTCCATATTGCACTTGTAACAAAATAAAGTTAGCAATAATGTTAAAATAATGCATGACTAATTTAAAAACTATTGCAAGTGCAATATGGAGGATATTTATATTAATATTATGTGGTGCATTGAATTAGTAATTAAATTTGCTTTCAAATAAGGTGTCACACTTTATAATACGTCAGTTTTTTTTATCCCGACAGAGGGCGGTACAATTAAAAGTATCGCAATGAACAGTCACATTTCTAAATTCCCCATAAAATTACCTTTTTAATGATGTACTACAGCAGTGTCACACTCTATAATACGTAGTAGTTTTTTGTCCCGCTAGAGGGCGATAAAATTTAAGTAACGCAATTTACAGAAATATTTCTGAATCCCCCATTAAATTACCTTTTCAATGCCATACATGGTACATTATCTATTTAAAGTTAAGGTATTGGAGAAGTGCAAGGGAGGGGGTTGACACATGACAGATGTCTGTAATGTAAAAATATTTTTAATTTGGAATAAAAATCGACCTATTTTGGCATTTTCTTAAATTCCAATGATTAATGCTGAAAAACAGGATGAAACTGTTTTGAGTGACCCACTCTGTATATCAAAAATCTGATGTGTCCAACACATGACTTTCCTATCTAGTTTTTATAGGCTTTTTCCGGTTATTTTGTACAACCTATTGCAGAATCTCTATAAATGTTTAGAGGATAAACTAAATATATACATTGTCCACATACATCTACCTCAAAACATTTTTCTATAGATATTCATTGAAAACGAAAATACTGAAAAATTTAAATTTAGCACTTTTCCATTACGGTCCATTTTAGAAAAATCATGTATAAACAAAAATTATAGAGATCGATATCGCAAACAACTTTTAGTTCAACAATTTTCATAAAAATCAAAATTTTGCACTTTTTGTCAAATTTCTCGGATACGGACCATTTCAGGAAATTTTAACATAAAAAAAAATTATAGATAATAATATTATAAGTAACTTTTATTTGAACAATTTTCTTCTCCAAACATAAATAACAGATATATTCCATAAAATATAAAAACGGCCTCCCATAAAGTACCCCCCTAGATGTTCCGACTTTGTCCAAAATCTAATCATTTCACTTCAGGCCGAAATAAACCTTAAGTTTAAAATTTAATGTTTTTTTCTATATCCGTTTTTGAGTTTTCTTCAAAATTCTAAATTTACACATTTTCTCAAATATCTCGAATACGGTCCATTTTAGAGAAATTATGTATACAATAAAAATTTAGAGAATTATATTACAAACAACTTTTATTTAAACAATTTTTATAAAAAAATATTTTTTTTACATTTTGTCAAATTTCTCGAATACGGACCATTTTAGGAAAATTTTGTATAGAACAAAAATTATATATAATTATATTAGAAGTAACTTTTATTTGAAGAATTTTCTTCTCCAAACGTAAATAACAGATATATTTCATAAAATATAAAAATGACCACCCATAAAGTACCCCCCCAGATGTTCCGACTCTGCCCAAAATCTAATCAGTTCATTAGACGCCGGAATAAAGCTTAAGTTTAAAATTTGGTGTTTTTCTGTGTATCGGTTCATGAGTTATGTGACCTACACACACACAGACATCATCGCGAAAATAGTCAAAACGGATTCAGGGGACCTCAAAACGTAAAAATCCGTCGAAAACTCGAGGTCGAAAAAAATAATGATTCCTATACTTTCCTTATATCTGTATACAGATAGGAAAGTAAAAATGGCTAGATTTATCGAATTAGTTCATAGAACAAAATCTGCTTAAAAATGCATTTTTTACAAGAAAGATCCACCCATCGAAAAATAAATATTGAGCGCAGCGGCATCTACATATTGACCTATTTAAAACTGAAGCTCTCTTAGCGTTCTATGATCTGATTTTTACAGAATTAAAATATCTATTACTTACCAAAATATCCGGCCTGGGAGTTTTTATTGGTACACCCTGTATATCAGTTTATCTCCCAGGTACTGGTATCGATAAATATTTAATTTAATCTTCATGATATAGGTACATACGTAGACACAACTATTTAGTTTCTTAAATTAATTTAGGCCAGAGCAATATTTATTTTTTATATCATCTTAAAAAATTTAATGTAAGTTTAGCTTCCATTTTTTTTAGTAAAAGTCTCACCACTACATTACTCTGACACTTTTTATCAGTACCTCTAGCATTTATAGATAGTATATATTTCTATAACTTGAAATTCATTAGGGACAACCTACAAAATAAAACAATTATTCATATAAAATTGCTCTATGGTCAAGAAAGTATCTTTGTTTAAATAAAACAATAAAATTGTCATACTTTTGAAATATATTCTGGTACAATGATCTTTCTTGGCTAGCAACTGCAATCTAAGATCTGTTTAAAGTTAGATACTTTATATCATTGCTGTAAGGGCCCATTTCTTGATGGAACCCAGTCATCGCTTAAATTGGATGGTTTTCCTATAAAAGAGTCATGTTTTAAATAAAAGTCCACCTAATAAAGTTGTTATAGTTTACCCGGCGCGCACTCGGATATAATTAAATGTTGTCTCTGCGAGATCTCTTCTTATGACATTGAGACATTGCATACATTTACGCGGTTTTCTTTTTTTGAAAATTCGTTTATATCTTTTGTAGGAAACAAAAAAGAAATTAACAAATTTTTTGCTCACTGCATAGTACTTACAGTTGGGTACAAAACACATTATTCTGAAGTAGTCTTAGACATTGGAACAAAAAACAATATAAATTACAGTCGTAAAACTAAATTATTGTTTAAAATTGCAAGTAAACAAACAACCTAACCTCAAAAATACTCTTATGCTTAAAATAATAGTATGTTTTACCTTGGAGACGTTTTTAGGTAACAATCTTTGAATTTGCATATATACTTTCAATTAAAGTTGCACTTTTATTTAAACACAATCTTTAAATAAACACAATTAAAATTGTCTTATGGGGATTTATAATGTACTTAGAGATTGATTGAAAACATATATAAAAACAGATATAATGAAGCAGAGTCTACATAAACACTATTTTGTGATATAAGTGGACGCATTTTGAGTCTTATTTTGATTAATAATTTTATATATGAAGATTGACGGAATGAAAATGTTTTTATATCATTTAAATCACCCTATTTAAAAAAAATGGCCCCACCAAAACTCACTATCTCGAGTTTGACACATGACGTAAAAGTGTAATGCAAAAAAGCAGACACTTTTAGTATCGTCGTAGCATCTCCTCTTTGTTCTATCTCAATGATTGGAAAGGTGAGTGTGCCTCGATCTACTTTGTGACGTCACACTTTGTTTATGTGTGATGTAGAAAATAGCGTGATTTTAAAGAGTCACGTTGTTTGTTTCACAGATCTGTTGACCTCCCTTTTTATCTACAGCCATTTGTAGAAACCACTGGGGCTTAATCAGCACAGTGCACCAACAGAGATGCGACAAGCCAGAGTGCAGTAGCGTACCAAAAAATAGAGATTAACTTGTATGAAAATAATAAAAATATTAAAATTGAATTTTTACTTTTATGGGATTTAACTAGGTGTTCACTGTAAAACTGAACCAATGGAGAAACCGCCCCTGCTTACTGGGCATTGGCGACTCGAAATGGCACCTTAGTAAACTAAGAATAGTACAAGATGATAGAGAGTGCAGATTCTGTGAGGAGGAGGACGAAACCTTCATTCACATTCTGACTGTATGTGTAGTACTTCAGAATCCAAGGAGCATACCAAATAGAAGAGGTCGAGACTATTTCCACGACAAAAGGGGACACAATAGATCTTTTAGGTCGCTGTGTATTAATGCCCTATATCCAACACAACATGATATCATTTTGGTTGTCAGTTTTGGGTTGACTAACCTCAGGTTCCGACGTTCTATTTTTTATTTATTTAGAAGTTATTCAAATTAACAGTAAAGTGTACAGAAGTTTTATCCAACCTATCCTAATTTGTACAAATACATAATTATAAAATAAAAATAGACCAGAATTGACAACATTGTCTGATAAATCTTTACTGTTATCTCTCATGAATCCCAGTACATATTATAGTAACAATATTTAAAACATGGTTTTTAAGTAATTTGAGTGTTAAAATAAACCCCAAGGTCTTTTACAATCTAAATCTAAGACTATAACATTGCTTGTACCATTATAATGGAAAAAATACAATAAAATACTGTCATTATTTAAGATCTGTTTTTGTTATATTTTGGTCAGCAATTGATAATAGTATATTATTAAACGAGCAAATAATGGCCATAAATTGCGAGTCTAATACTATACTTTGTCCACGACCATTATGGTTTCTTTATTAAATAAAAGTTAAGTGTAGAATGGAAAGTTTTTATTAAACATAGGTAACTAACTGTTGTTTTTTCCACTTTTCAATTTTTCGATTTTTGATTTATCGATTTTTTGATCTAGAAAATATCGTTATGAAAAGTATCGCCTATCTTTAGTTATCTACCGGAATATGCCAGAATTACAAAAGCGTGAATTATCATAATTCACTCTGTGATATATGGGTACTTTATGCTTTTAGTTAGGACGTAGAATATTGATTTATTATTAAGTGGTCGTGGACAAATAATTTAATTTTTTGCATGACAATGGATATAGATAATAATAATTTAATATATACAATTTATTTTTTCAAGTAATTTGTATCAAAATATCTTATCTAACTAACATGGATTTTACTATAATTATAATAAGGCTTATAAAAATTAAAAACATTTTGTAGCATGATAAGAATTCATTGCTTTGTTTAATAATGTTGTAAATGATGATAATACAATTTTGTTGATAATTACATTGAAGTTTATCTTTCAATAGTAAAGGCAATCATGTATTGAAACGTTTTTTAAGGAGTAAATAATTTTGCCTTGTAGTATTTTACATATTCTTTTTTTTTTTTTCAGTAAAACTTTTTTATAGTGTAAATTTAGATAAAAGAACTACTATTTGAAGGTCATTTTTGTTATTCACCAATTACCTGTATTACAAATGAATAATTACTTTTGTTATCCATGCAAAACAAAATAAGTTTTACCCTCTGAAGCACAGTATCAGCATTCAAGGTTTTGAAATAAATGTGAAAACATTAATTATTCATTCACAAATACATTGTGAGGTAAACATTAAACATTGGAAAACCCCGTTCGGGTTCAATGCATTTATTTTTAAATACATTTTATAATAGATCAATTAATATTAATTAAAAAATAAAGAGAATTTTGTCAAATGATAAGCAGTTGAATTTCCAGACACAGCACAAGAGTAAAAAATATATTTAAACTAATCAATTTTTTTTTTCATAAGTGCGTATGTCTAATGAAAAAATGTCACTAGATAGATAATACACATTAAGAACTCTTTTTTGCTCCCCTTATCAAGGGGATGTAGGTGGATAATAGAAGCTTACCTTGAAATTTTACCTTTTAATATTGTCTACAGCATCTTCAGTTCAGTGTTTTATGCTTTAACCCCTGTATAAAGTTTGTAACAATTTTTGTTGAGCTGCAATAGGTGATTTTTACATTATTTAAAATTATTACATCCAGCTAATTATTGTTGTGTCTAATAAGTAGTTGTTAGACATACTATTTTGATGCTTCATTAATTATAGAAACAATATTTTGTATTATGTTCTCACAATGCTTCTAACATATTTGCATATTTGGTTATAAATAATATATATTGCATGTATTGTCTATTTTGATAGAGTAATGTTTATCTATGAAAAAATTTAATTTTAAAGACCCAAATAATATATTTAGAGGTCTTGCTATTTAATGATTTATTATTTATTGGATTGATGTTAATGTCCTGATTCATTCATACTAACTTCTTCTAAGTCATTCGCTGTAACTCATCTACACTGTGATTTACAGCCACACGGATGGGACTGGCCAGGGATTCACCGATGATTTTAAGTGAATCAGAATGATGCCCTTACCCCAGATAATCAAAGTTCTGTGGTTATTCCGGACCTCAGAGTTCTACTGAATTTTGAATCATTGCTCCCTTTTTTATTTAATAAACTAACAAGAACCTAATGAATGTTTGGTACAATAATTATCTCATGCTAAATGTGTTTTGTTTGAAATATTAGTTCGAATTGAATAATCCATTATTTGAATAAATGTACAAATTTTTGTGTTTGTAAAATTTCAAATACTAAATCTTATCTAAACCATAGATTTTGCCAAATAATAATATTGAAACTTTGATAACTTTATCCTCATTGTTATATTATGATGTGTAGATAATTTATGTATATAATGAATTTGCAGAATGGTCATACAGGGTTGTATGTACATGCATTGATTTTGTTTTCTTTTATTTGTTAGGATTCAGATGTCCTTATAAGGATTTAATTTTTTGGCAATATTGGTGTATTGTGTAATAAGTATATCTAAGTTTAAATTGGATTGTGTTGTTTCAGTTGAATGTGCACATTTAAGATCCAGTACCTTACTCAAACCCACACCTTATGTAGAAATCATAGTCGATGACAAGACCCCACAAAAGACGGAAACCGTAAAAACTAGCTCCCAACCGAAATGGAATGAAACATTCACCTGTTTGGTCACTCAGCATTCCAAAATTCTCTTCTCTGTAAAGGATCACAACAATTTTAGAAAAGATACGGTCATAGGTGAAAAAAAAGTCGATCTGTTTTTGTTGTTGTTCCATTTTAATGGCAGATGCGACAATTTAGACCTTACTATGGATCTTATGAGCGACGCAAAACAGACGGATTCTCCTTCAAAGGTTGGCGAGCTGATCTGTTGTCTTAAGGTAAGCGTTTTGAGATTGGCTTGAGGACGACGTCATCTGTCAATGCTGATGAATTTGACGTCTTTCATTTTAAATTAATCTAAAAAATTATTGTAACAATTTTAGGGCTTGGTGATCGACATGTCTAATACACGATCGAATGAATCTCTACCATTAGGACCTAGCAATACAGATGGTATGTCTAACAGGAACGTTTTGAACGGCATCAGAGCCAAACTTAGAGGTCAAGGATCGGAAAATGTCATGCCAAATCCATCGTCTACATCGACATCTTCGACCTCGTCCTCGAGAAGTAATTCTGAACGGGCGGAACATAGAAGGACTCATGTGAATTCTGCCGGAAGCGCACCTATCTCAATATCGCCTAGCAATAATAGCATTCCAAACGGTAATAATTTTACGTAAACTTTACTAATAATATTGATATATTGATAATATTAATAATATTGATAATATTGATAATATTGATAATATTGATAATATTGATAATATTGATAATATTGATAATATTGATAATATTGATAATATTGATAATATTGATAATATTGATAATATTGATAATATTGATAATATTGATAATATTGATAATATTGATAATATTGATAATATTGATAATATTGATAATATTGATAATATTGATAATATTGATAATATTGATAATATTGATAATATTGATAATATTGATAATATTGATAATATTGATAATATTGATAATATTGATAATATTGATAATATTGATAATATTGATAATATTGATAATATTGATAATATTGATAATATTGATAATATTGATAATATTGATAATATTGATAATATTGATAATATTGATAATATTGATAATATTGATAATATTGATAATATTGATAATATTGATAATATTGATAATATTGATAATATTGATAATATTGATAATATTGATAATATTGATAATATTGATAATATTGATAATATTGATCATATTGATAATATTGATAATATTGATAATATTGATAATATTGATAATATTGATAATATTGATAATATTGATAATATTGATAATATTGATAATATTGATAATATTGATAATATTGATAATATTGATAATATTGATAATATTGATAATATTGATAATATTGATAATATTGATAATATTGATAATATTGATAATATTGATAATATTGATAATATTGATAATATTGATAATATTGATAATATTGATAATATTGATAATATTGATAATATTGATAATATTGATAATATTGATAATATTGATAATATTGATAATATTGATAATATTGATAATATTGATAATATTGATAATATTGATAATATTGATAATATTGATAATATTGATAATATTGATAATATTGATAATATTGATAATATTGATAATATTGATAATATTGATAATATTGATAATATTGATAATATTGATAATATTGATAATATTGATAATATTGATAATATTGATAATATTGATAATATTGATAATATTGATAATATTGATAATATTGATAATATTGATAATATTGATAACATTGATAACATTGATAACATTGATAACATTGACGATATTGACGATATTGACGATATTGACGATATTGACGATATTGACGATATTGACGATATTGACGATATTGACGATATTGACGATATTGACGATATTGACGATATTGACGATATTGACGATATTGACGATATTGACGATATTGACGATATTGACGATATTGACGATATTGACGATATTGACGATATTGACGATATTGACGATATTGACGATATTAACGATATTAACGATATTGACGATATTGTTGATATTGATGATATTGATTATTTTGATTGATATGATAATAATATTGATCAATTTATTGATATACAGTTGTTAGCATGAACTTTTTAGAAGTCAAAATAGCTTTTCTTATATAGGTACATACATACAGAGTAGAAAGTCTAACTAGAACAAATTCTGTAACTTAATAAGTAAAGGCTTGTCACAAAATTCCTGAAACACATCAATTTTTATTTTCAGTAGGTAATATTACTATTTTTTTAATTATGTGGGGGTTGCAGACATCCCCAACTTTTTTTTTAATGAAAGAGTAATTCATTTGTTTTTGTTACTTTTTATAAGCAGTGTGTCAAAAAAAAGGAAATATTTACTGAAACTACTGGTGGTTCCCTGTCTTGTTGAAACCACATTAGTTGGTCAAATAAGTTGGGATCCAAATTATTGGGGAATATATTCACTAAAGTAGGAATCAGTCTTTCTTGGAGCATGATTAGGCGTGTCTCTCTGGTCACGTTTCAATTAAAAAAAAAACCCAGTTTGCGATTCCCAATAATTCCAGCAAAGACTTTTGTTTTTTGATGCCTTTGGCTATGGCACTCTAACATCCAGCGGGTATTTTCGTCAGCCCAATAATAACAATTTTGTCAAAAGACATGCCAGTGTAGTGTGTATGTAGCTTCTTCAGAAAACAGCATCCATTTTGCTAATATGTTGCAATTTAAGTTTAAAGGTTTGAAGCTATAGCTCTGTTATTTTATAGAAAATATGTCTACCAAACCCTTTCAAGACTTTTTTGTTATTTTTAATTACATAATAAAGCAAAATAGGAATATTTTACAGGGTACTTAATTAGCAGTTAAAGTAGAAATTTAATAATTATAGCACTTAATACATTTGGAAGTAAATCCTATGCAGTTATCTCATTTGTGTAACGATTTGTAATTATTTAATTTCTTTTTAAACTGTTAAAAATGAATCAAAAGCTGCTTTAAAACAAAAAAAGTTTATTGACAGCACAGAAACTAAATATTTGTTATATTTTTTAAATATATAGAGTACATTAGTTTTTGGCGTCATCATAATCTGACATGGAGTTAATCATTATTTAATTAGTTGGTATCCCTGCAATAAATTAATTTTTAGTTTTAACAGCTCTAAACGGTCCTTTTTTTGCTTGTGAGTTTATGTAGTTTCAAAGTGTACAAGCATTTTAAGTCGCACGCTGGAAATTTCAAAAGCGTTAATGGTGGGATCTTTTAATGCTATGAACTGTTTGTGTGTATATTTCAAAGAAAGATTATGCAGGCAGATCATACTTGTATTAAATATTCCTAGGCCTGCTTTTTGGGACTCGATCCATTTAATATGCAGCCACTTAACTTTGTGTTCCTGTCACCGAATACGAATCACAAATGTGTCAAGTGCACACTTAACACCAATGTGCTTCTTAATATAAAATACTGAATTTGTCAAGCGGAGTTGACACGTTTGTGATTCTATAACAGACATCACTTAACTTTTTACTGTAATAGATCTAGAACAAATATTCTATTAAGCTCACCTCTCAATGTCATTGTAATAACTTTAACCTGTACTGTAATTCTTCGAATATCTTCAAAGATAGTTTTATAAGTATTAAAGCAATTGCTCTTAACTTTTATGACAATGCTCGAGTTTTTTATTTTATCCTTTTTTTATTGATTTTTCATTTTCAGTTTTTTATATGATACTTTTTATTTTATCATTCTGTATTTTTATCATCACCTTTACTACTTATATTGTTAATAATTTATTAGGTTGCTCTGTAAAGGGATTTATATCTGTTGGGCAATAAGGCTATTATTATTATTATTATTATTTATAGGTATTTATCAATTTATACATAAAAAAACTACCAATTTAACCTTGCATACATATGCCACATTTGTTCACAATAAAAATAAATTATTTGTATACATGCATTTAACATAATTTTTCTCTAAATTGCACTTAACACATGTGTGCGCAAAGGCCGCTAAGCCATCGATATTACCTATGAGTGCTATTTGGTTTCTTTCACAATTTTTAAAATACTTGTGGAACTGACACCAGCTGGAGTAGCAGGATTTTCTTCAACTTCCAACATGTTCAACCGGGCTTCTTCGGCAATTTTTAAAAGCATCCATAACGTGGCCCAACTCCCGATATCGAGTTTCAATTTTACTAATCGTATTTTGATTAATTGAAGGCATTTCTGGAAGAACTTCGGTAAACAAACAAGCGACTTCAGCCTGTGTTCGATTTCTGTTCCCATATCTGATCATCATTAAAATTTTGATACGATACGCCTCGGTTAAATTACCATTTTCTTATTTTTCGTTTTTAATTTACATGTTGAAATGCAAACAAGTATTAACAAATCAATCGCATTCAGTTCAAATTAACCAAAAAATTATCAAGCAGGGTTTTTTTATTATGGCTTATCAAGTAAGAAAAGATGTACCTATACATTAAAGTAGTTTCATTAAATATTTCCTTATTTTATTTTTCCGACACATTACTTATACAACAAGAAAATGTATTTGTATTTGAAAAAGCTTTCAAATAAAAAATTAAGCAACTTACCCTTCCATTAAAAAAGAAAGTTGGGTGTGTCTGCAACTCACCAGATAATTAAACCTTTATTTATTAAGTTACAGAATTTGTTTTAGTTAGACTTTCCACTCTGTATATTTGAAGTGAAATATTTTGTTTTAAGGATGCATCGGCCCCCCAGTAACTGTGCCAAACGGCAATGTAGTACATAATGAAACTGAAGAAACTAGAACAGATGGTGAACCACTGCCTCCTGGTTGGGAAATGAGGTTTGATACATATGGCCGTAGATATTATGTTGATCATAATACTAGGTAATTAAAATATTAAGTTTGTTTTTTTACTCTGTTGAAATAATATATTAAAGCGTTATGGAGATTATATTCTTAGTTAAACATGACACCCTTTGATTTTGGCCCGAGACTGTTAATAAATCGTATCAATGGTACTGTCGGTATTCATTTCTTGATAGATACATTAGATAGTCTACCTCTACCTGATGGTGGTTCAACTTGATACTATCTATATAGTGAAAAGTGCTTCATATTGCAATTAATTTTAATAAAAGAATTAACTTTGATTTGTATTCTGTTATATGAATATTTGTTTTTAGGTCAACATCTTGGGAAAGACCTCAACCATTGCCGCCCGGATGGGAAATGAGACGTGACCCAAGAGGTCGGGTATATTATGTAGATCACAATACTAGGACGACAACTTGGCAAAGACCGAATTCAGAAAGATTACAACATTATCAGCAATGGCAGGGTCAAAGGCAACACATCGTATCTCAAGGTAAATGTATAAATAATTCTACCATAGATTTTTATTATATTTTGTTTTATATTAAAATTAGTGATTTTTTGGATATAATGAATTGGGATACAAATGAATGTTATTTCCTTAGGGAATCAACGTTTCTTATACCCTCAACACCAACCGGCTCCTGTACCTGGTCCTGGTCCTTCTGTTGTTGCTGAGGAAGATGACGGTTTAGGAGTTCTTCCTTCAGGTTGGGAGAGGCGTGTTCAACCGGAAGGTGAGTGCACTGATTTGTTTGAAACGTTATATATGTATTTCTAAAAAAAAAAAATGCTCTTGTTAGATTCGTTTGGTCATAAAATGCGTATCGTTAACCATCATTTTAGGTAATTATTATGTATGCATATTTCGTCATTTTTAGGTCGAGTATATTTTGTCAATCACAAAAATCGGACCACGCAATGGGAAGATCCGCGAACTCAAGGCCAGGAAATTAGTGACGTCGAAGAAATACCGTTACCGCCCGGTTGGGAAATTAGATTTACCGAAGATAATAAAAGGTATTTTGTTGATCACAATACGAAAACGACGACGTTCGATGACCCCCGTCCCGGAGCACCCAAAGGTCCGAAAGGAGTTTACGGCGTACCTAGGGCGTACGAAAGGTCATTTAAATGGAAAATCAGTCAATTTAGGTAAGGTTGCACTACCGTCTCACTTTATGACGGACTACCGAAAGATAAAAGGTTAACCTCATCTTGAACAACCGTGTATTAATTTTTGTATTTTTATTAACCGACTTTAAAAAAGGAAGAGGTTCTCAATTCGTCGGAATATTTTTTTTAAGTATGTTCAGTGATAATTCTTTACGTTATCTGATTTCTAGGATTCTTTTTGTTAGAAAGAGGACATTTCAGGGGTGGTCCCATATTAATTTGGTCAAGATCTAATAATGGGGTCCATAAGAAAATCATCAAACTCTTAATTTTTTTAGTATTTTCAGCGATAATTATGTACCACGTTGTCCGATTTCTATGATTATTTTTTTTTTGTTAGACAGGGGATACCTCAGGGGTAGTTCCATATGCAATTGGTCAGAATCGGATGATCTTTGACAAAATAAAAAAAACTCAATTTTTAAGGGTATCTGCATGATTTTGAAATCGGTTTTTTAAAATTACTTTATTCAATATTTTTTCTTTTGATAAACTTTTAGTGTAGTAAAATTCAGCCACCACATCATCCTAATTTATACTAGTGAACTTTTTGCAATCAACAAATTAATGACGTTTCTTTTTTTAGGTTTCTGTGTCAAAGTAATGCTCTGCCAAGTCACATAAAAATCCAAGTGACGCGACAGACGCTTTTTGAAGATTCATTCCACACTATCATGCGATTGCCTGCTTACGAGTTACGTAGGCGACTATATATCATATTTAAAGGTGAAGAAGGATTAGATTATGGCGGCGTCAGTAGGGAATGGTTCTTCCTAGTTTCGCACGAAGCGCTCAATCCGATGTATTGTTTATTTGAATACGCGAATAAGAATAATTACAGTTTGCAAATCAATCCCGCTTCGTATGTGAATCCGGAACATTTGACCTACTTCAAGTTTATAGGTTAGTTTATATGAAATGTGTAAATAATTTATAAATAGTAAGAATAATGTAGGCACTAAAATTGAACCTTGAGGAATCCTATATTTATTTTTGGGTTATAAATAGATGCAACGTTATATCAAACGTTTTACTCAAAGAAGAATAGAATATTATCTATATTTTTCAGTGGATATAAAACTCTGATAATTGTCTAAAAGCTGTCACAGTGAATATCAAATAAATCAGGGTGTTTCTGAAATACATATACATAATAAAACGGGTTAATATATTAACTTTCCTCGAATGCACAAAAATACAATTTTATATAAATGTCTTATAATAAAAATAGGTGTTTGAAATCGATATTAAAATATACACATGCTATTGCCACATTGAGGTAGTATGTTTGAACTACATACAATGCACAGTAAATTTATAAGAAATATTTTTGAATTGAGTGCATTAGAACTACTGTATAAATTTATATTTTTCATAATTACTACATGTGAACTATAGTTTTGAACATGGTACATTTAAATTACTCACTTTAATTACAACAAATTTATTAGAAATGTGGTTTTTAAAAGTGATACGTTTGCATTTCACATTTTAAGTCAGTTAATTTACCAGAAGTCACATTTTCCACGTAAGTTTGAACTAATCACTTCAAAATTAATAAATTACATTAAAGTACAATTTTAGGAAGTGGAACAGTTGAACTACTTACTTTAATTATAGCAAATTAATCAGAAATAATTTTTCAACGTTTTACGCGTGAACTACTCACTTTAATAATATACAATGTGTCTAGAAGTACAATTTTCGAATGTGAACATTTTGAACTTTTATTTTTGAAATTGGAACAAACGAAATACTTGTTTTAAATAACGCAAATTGATCAGATAGCTGTATTTAAGGGGTACATTTAAACTACTCATTAATTACCCATAACTTTATCAAATCCAATGTTGTACATTTGAACTAACTTTAATAAATATTAAATTGTTAGGAAGTACAATTTCAGAATGTGAACTATTTGATTTACTTTTTTGAAAATGGTACATATGAATTACTGACTTTAATTATAGCAATTGAGCTTCTCACTTAAAAATCAGTAAATTTATCAAATATTTTTTTCAATATTGCACATTTGAACTGCTTTAATAATTTGTCAGAGGTACAATTCTAAAACATGGAATATTTGAACTGCTATTTTCAAAAGTGGAACATATAAGACTACTCACTTTAACCCAAATTGTTCATAAATACGTTTTTGAAGGGTAGTACATTTGAACTAATCATTTAAATACCAGTAAATTTATCAAATTATTTTTCTACATACTCGCTTTAATAATAAATGATAATTGGTCAGAAGTCAATTTTAGAACATAGAATATTTGAACTATCATTCTTGAAAATGGTACATATGAACTACTCATTTTAATTAACCCAAAGATGTTTTAAAGGGGGGTACATTTAAACTACTCCCTCTTAAATACCTGTAAAATTATCAGAAATCTTTTTGAACATTGTACATATAAACTACTAACTTCGATAATTGATGTATTATCAAAAGAACATTTTTAAAACGTGTAACAATTGAACTATTATTGAAAATGGTACATATGAACTACTCACTTTAATCATCGTTTGTTAGAAGAACAATTTTAAAACGTGGACTTTTGAACTACAAACTTTACTACAAATTGATTTGAAATGCCATTTTTAAAAGGGGTACACTTGAACTACTCACTTTAATTACATTGTATTTTACAGAAATCTGGTATATTTGAACTACTTGCTTAAATACTAGTAAATTTATCAGAAATTATAATTTTAAAAGTTTTACATTTAAACTATTCGTAATAAGTAACAAAACTACAATTTTAGAAATTAAAATATTAGATCCTCTATTTTTTAAAGTGGTACATATGAATTACTCACTACTGCAAATTGATCAAAAATATGGTTTCCAAAGGGAGTACATTTGAACTACTTACTTTAATAACAAATAATTGAAGAAATACGATTTTTGAACTACTCACTGAAATTAACTAGAATTGATCAGAAATGCAATTTTTAGGGGACACATTTGAACTACTCACTTAAAAACCAGTACATTGATCAAAGTGTTACATATTAACTACTAAGTTTAACTCTTTAAATACGAACGTCGCCTATACACGATATTTGCAAGTCACTTAAAATATTTGAACGTTGTGTATACTACCCCATACCTCAGTGATTTTTGTTTAAATCTGAAATTTTTTATTTACCTCTGAATTTTGTTTTAATTTACACTTACTGTATTTGGCCTTTTTCCTCTAGTGGTAGTAGTAGTAGTACTAGCAGTGGTCGCCTAGTTAATTCATTAATAAATTATATACCCACGTTGTGATGTTAATTAAAATAAACCAGGATTCAATGCGAAATTTGGTTCAAATTGGCAAATAAAACCATATAAATTTATATTTAATTATTTTTCATACTTTAAAATGTAACGTAATAATTTGTAAAGTATATTACAATTGGTACTTTTTACCGAGATCTCACTTGAATCCTGCTCAAACGAAAACACCACATTCATTTGTTGTTAAGATATTTTTTATTTAGCTTGATTCTATCGCAGCGTCAATTCGCCAGTTGGTTAACTTACTGTGTTGATGTTCACAAATACTTTATGGTTCAAACCTAGAACGGGTGCCCCCTTTGAGCTAACAAAGAATGTCAATCCACCAGTTGGTTAAATTACTATTAAATTTTATCATCACGGTTTGAGTAGATTTGTGTGCATAATTAACCCAAGACGGTACGTCCCTGTATATATCTAAAATATTGCTTTTTATATTTTCTATTGAAATTACCCAAATTCACCCATCGAAAAACGGATGTCTAACTTAACTCTTTTGGGGTGAATGCCCGAGGGCCATCTGTTTTATTGAGTTACATAATATTTTGAAGCAAATATCAGCCCTTATTCAAACGAAATTCAGGTGATATCTCAAAGAAAGTTGCATTAACTTTACTCACCATTGAAAATACGGACATTAGGTTCATCTAAACTTGACATTATGTACTAATTTTATCTCGCGTCAATTTTGGGTATGTTGCAGCATTGAGTGTTGCCTTGCATTAAGACGCCTAACGTCGTGGCGGAGAGGAAGCTAATTAATACGGTATTGCGTCGGGACGGATATACGGTAGGAAATACTTAGGTGGTGCTGCGCGACGTAAGAGGTGCCGTCACAGGTATTTTGAAGGAAATATTTTGGTAGGTTTACGGGTGTAAAACGTTGGGTAGTAGGGCGCTGGGACACTGATCGTCGGGACGTGATAACGTTCGAGAGATATATCGTCGGGACGTAGGAAGGTAGGGAAGTAGGGCGGTGGGACGTGAAAGCGTTCCATAGGTAGGTCGTCGAGACGTAGGGTAGGAAAGGCGTCGGTTCGGAAGAGCGTCGGTTTGGGAAAGATACTGAACTTAAGATATAACTAAATTTGAAAAGAAACTGGATTAGAGTGAATTTAAAAATAATAATGAATCTTGCTTTCCCCGGGATTGAGTATTTGTAAAGGTTTTAATGAGTTTGTGACGTAAACTCCGGTGGGAAGAAATTTGAGGGATGAAAAAAAGGATGGTAGATTTATTACATGCCTTGAAATTCTCGGAATTTTGTTTCGACAATAGGCAAGTATAAAAAAATAATTTCGGCCAGCACACATGCTTAGGAAATGCAAATTCCGTTTTAAGAGGGTTAATGACTGCACATTGATCAGAAATACAGTTTTTAAGGGAGTATATTTGAACTTCTCACTTAAAATACTAGTATATTTATCAGGAATCATAAATTTGAACGTTTTACATTATTTGAACTAACTTCCTTAAATAGTAATTTAACAGAAGTTCAATTTTAGAAAGTTGGACCATTTGAGCCTCTATTTTTGAAAGTTACATATGAACTACTCACTAAAATTACTGAAAATTAATCAGAAATACGATGTTTAAAGATAGTACATTTGAACTACTTACTTTACAAATAATTGATCAGAAATTCAAATTTTTAATAATTGTCAATTTATCATGATCTAGGCTATAGAGGAGTAGAATAACTAGGAAAAATTGTAAGTAAAAACTTTTAATTCGAGAATTTTTCTATAAAATTTCTAACAGTTTTAATATGTATATGTATTTTATACTCAATATGACTAGACTAATCCATTCATGCATAATAAGTCCTTATTTATTGCAATCATTCAGATTGTGTTTTATATTGCGTCATACAGAGCTGTCGCATCGGCTGCCGCATTAGAAAGAACGAGACAGCTGCTAATTTGAGTGGGGATGGTTTATGTGAACATGTTCATCTGAGATGCTAGCACGCGATTTATGAATAAATATTTACGACTATGACTCTTGCTTTATACTGCTGTCTCACTTCAGAGTTAATTGCAAATTTTCCTGGAAATCACCTTCAGCTATGATAGTTCCAATGAGAAAAATACATTAAACTGATAATAACTGGCATTTAGAACGCAAATATACTTTCTTAATGTAATTTTGAAAGCCTTTTGTGCGTTTTAGAGACTATTATATTAAGTCAATACTGAATCATAACCATAAACAATCCTTGTAACAAAACTCTCCCATACCTGTAAAGATCTCGAAAGCGCCTCCGCCATAGTCGTCACATACGTTTGGTCTTAATGGGTTTAATTATGTATGATAATCGGACAAGTTGAGCCTCAAAGGCCAAATAAGACAGAGAGGGACTTGGAGAATTAGAGCATGACTGAATAATGAAATGGCTCACATTACAATACCTTTAGTACCACTAATTATGCCTTTAATTCGCCAGTAAGTCGAATGTTATGTACGCATGTAATAAGTTACAATATGAAAATGGTGATATTTTTGGAACTATTAATGCTCTCGAGAGTATATTTAAATAATACTGAAATCTAACCTTGTATGTCTTCATTTTGTTTTAATTATTTTTTTTTTGTTTTTGGGTGCTGTTATATTTTGTATTACCCATATCTTTAGTATTTAGTGCGGTACTTAATTTAGTATTTATTTTGTCCGTTATTATTCTACTTATTATTGTATTATTTTTTTTAATAGTGTTACCAATAAATAAATAATATTTAACAATATTATTGGCACTACAATAAAAGTTATTCCAGGCCACCTGGGATATATTTTATAACCTTAAGGTTAGGTTACCCACTTAGAATGTTTGCTGGATATAAAATATTCAAAAAATAATTATAATTTTGTAACCCAACATGTAATAATTATGCTTTTAATTCGCCAGTAAGTCGAATGTTACATACATGTAATTAGTTACAATGTAAAAATGGTGATATTTTTGGAACTATTAATGCTCTCATGTAAATAATACTGAAATCTAACATTGTATTTCTTCATTTTGTTTTAATCCATTTTTCTTTTTGTTTTTTTGTGCTATTATATTTTGTATTGCGTATATCTTTAGTATTCAGTGTAGTACTTAATTTAGTATATATTGTGTCTCCTATTATTTTACATATTGTATTCTTTATAAATGGGGTTACCTGTGAATAAATATGACAAATAGAGGGTTGCTATATTATTGATGTATGTGGCCCATTATAAGTTTTTAAATTGTTTAAATAATTCTAAAATATATTTGGAAACGAAAAATTTCTAAATATTTTATTTTTAATTCCAGGAAGGTTCATAGCGATGGCCCTGTACCACGGCAGATTTATCTATTCCGGTTTCACGATGCCATTCTACAAACGCATGTTGGGCAAAAAACTGATAATGAAAGATATTGAAAGTATCGATCCAGAATTTTACAATTCACTAGTTTGGATCAAGGAAAATAGTATCGACGATTGCGGATTGGAATTGTATCATAGCGTAGATTTTGAAGTTTTGGGCCAAATAGTACATCACGAATTGAAAAAGAATGGCGACAAGGAAAGGTAGGCAATCTTATTTAATAATTATAAGTTCAACATTTCGATAGGAATTGTATATTATGGCCTGTTAATACAGTTATAATTTCTTATATGATAGTAATTGGAGAATTATCTCAGTCGATGTAGCTGTTTCATATTTTTAATTTTGATTTATCTTTAACGAGATTTTCATTTTAAAAACGGTCTTCTGCAAAATTTTATATTGATTTTTTTTTTTTTTTTTCAGAGTGACTGAAGAAAACAAGGAAGAATATCTTACTTTAATGACTGATTGGAGGATGACGAGAGGCATCGAACAGCAAACACAGGCGTTCCTCGACGGTTTCAATGAAGTCGTACCCATTGAGTGGCTCAAATACTTTGACGAAAGAGAGTTGGAATTGTTATTATGTGGAATGCAGGAAATCGACGTCGAAGATTGGCAAAGGCATACGATTTATAGGCATTATACGAGAAACAGTAAACCGGTTGCTTGGTTTTGGCAGGTAATATCACTTTTGTGATAATAAACGTTATTGGAAATTACACTTAATAGCTTTGGTAGATAAACAATTAAAAAATAAAAAGTTATCTGACACAGATTTTGATAAATACTCCTTTTGAATGATGCCAAAGAATCAAAGCAAATGACATTCAGTGTACAAAAATCATTATTTGAACAAATTGTGTACATTGGGGATTTGGTAAAAACATTAGTCCTTGGAGTTGAGAGGTAAAAGCGCTGTTGTGACACAACACAAAAAATGTAGTTCTTGGAAAATCGCGTTTTTATATTTTTTATATCTAAAAATCGCATTTAAAATTTACTGAAATGACATATTGGAAAAGTAAAGATATATTTAAAAACACTATTCAATGTACTATTATATTTTCATGGACATAATGATCTACAAATTGTTTTTCTAATTTGTTTTTAATTTTTTTAATATTGTAACTCTTTTTTAGAAAAAATTGAAAGAAATTTACTAATTTACCAAAGCAATAAAAGTGTCATTTTATAGATTGTGACTGTATTATTCGCTATCTTTATATTAGTGTCTCCGTTTTTGTCCAAATTGAAGTAAACACATAAACGTTACTTACCATAACAGACTCATTACACAGGTTATGACAGTACTACACACACCAGGGGGTCGATTCTCGACTTGTAGGAACCTTTTCCTATAGGAATTTGTGACACTTTCCTATATGTAGGAAAATGTCATAAATTTTCGATGTATGTAAAAATGTCAAAAATTCCTATAGGAAAATATTCCTACGAGTCGAGAATCGACCCCCAGGTGAGCATCCGCTCCGTGTACTAATTTTGATATGACACTATAGGTGCTGCAAGGTTAGACAACTGGCTCCGTAAAAAAGGGTATTTTGCGCTATCTCTTGGCAAGGAACTGCACAATAATTACGACATCTTTTTAGCAGGTAAAATTTGAGACTGTCGATGTTTTGGAATACCTATGTCAGTTTCATATTTTTTTCTGTTGTGACACTATAGTTGTGGATGTTCGAAATACAGAAATCATATTTTCTACGTTTAGGAAGGAATAGTAATGTTTATTTATTTATTTATTTATTTATTTATTTATTTATTTATTTATTTATTTATTTATTTATTTATTTATTTATTTATTTATTTATTTATTTATTTATTTATTTATTTATTTATTTATTTATTTATTTATTTATTTATTTATTTATTTATTTATTTATTTATTTATTTATTTATTTATTTATTTATTTATTTATTTATTTATTTATTTATTTACGGGTCAGAGCCCATTAAAACAATACAATTACAGATAATACATATTACATACATTAAATAGTAATAAAATCCTAAATAATAATAATAAAAAATTAATTTAAATACATAAATATTAAAAATTACTCCTCACATATACATAAATGGTTAGAAAAATCTGATGGAGAAGTAATCCATTCTACCTTTAGTCTGTTAGCAGATCTTGTTACTCTAGGAATGAAAGAGTGAGAACCATAATTTGTTCTATGAAAAGGTTGAGAGAATGTATTAATATTCCTAGTAACTCTAGAGGGTACAGAAAATCCAATTTGGGATAACAAGTATGGACAATCGGCAGATGAGTTAATAATGTTAAACAATATTTTAAGATCCCTTTGGTTTCTTCTGCTCAGAAGGGTCTCAAGATGACAAAGTGTGTGTAATTCGTCATAATTGTATCTGAAGTTGACCGGGACAATACCCGATTTAAATGCAACAATGCGTAAAAATTTTCTTTGAACCTGTTCTAATGTTAGTAACAGCCTATGATTAAATCCTTGTGATGGGCAGGTATCTGCCATCTAATTTAAATGATAAATATTTAAAAAATTATCTTTGAACATTTTCTATGTGAGAATTATATAAATTATACAACAGACTAGATTAAAGGTATGTTATGTTGGGATTGGGGTGTTACACTGCGACCTAAAATATCTATTGTGCCCCCTTATGTTGCTAATGCAGCAAGGAAATGTCTCAATGCCTTTAACGACCCTTCCAATTCTATCTTCTCAAGGAAGTGTAGGATTTTGAGTGGTTTCAAGTTAGGTAAATCTCCCTCTTGTATTTGATATGTTCCTAGGTATAATGCCCTTGGATTCTGGTGTGCTACATATTTCATCGTCCTTACAGAACCTGCATTCAATATCTTCTACTACTCTCAGGTGTCCTTTTAGTCGGCAATGTCCAGTAAGGATCCCTGTTTCAATACATAGCCTGTTCTTGCTCAGGCAGATGCAGGCTTCCGATCTTTACTGCTTATATTCACCCAGAAGTATCTTAGCCTGTCTTAGCCACAAGAGATTGTTCCAATTATTGATTCTTCTACTGCCCAATTCTTTTTTAAACGACTTCAAAAAAGGAGGAGGTTCTCAATTCGTCGGTATATATGTTTTTTATGTATGTTCAGCGATAATTCTTTAACAGGGTGTCCGATTTTAATGATTCTTTTTTTGTTAGAGGGGTACTTCATTGGTGGTCCCATATAAATTTAGTCAAAATCTAATAATTGGGTCCAGGAGAAAATCCTCAAACTCTTCATTTTTTATGTATGGTTAGGAATAATTCTTTATATTCTTGTCCCATTTCTATGATTCTTTTTTGTTAGTAAGGGGGTACCTCAGGGGTAGTCCCGTATAAATTTGGTTAAGATATGGTGATGGCATCTGCACGATTTTGAAGTCGGTTTTTTTAAAATTACTTTTAATATTTGTTAATCTCTTCTAATATTATGTTACTGCTGATACCATAAAATGGTTCAAGTACCACAAAGGTAGTTTGAGTCCCTTTCCTTGCGAGACTATCTGCAATCTTGTTACTCTGTACCCCGTTGTGTCTCGAGACCCAAGTAAAAGTAATTATATTTTTCTCGCCTAGTTCGTTAAATTTTTCTAGATTAAAGGTAGTTAACGCCCCTATTTCACAAGTTATTTTATAATATGGTCAAATTAGAGGTTCATATTTTTTTTTAAATTTTGTTTTGCTGTTGCCCAGGAAAATATATTGCTGTAACGACCCACCCCCCGGTTCCCCAGTACCCCTTTTTGATCGTTGTTTTAACGTCTGAAATCTTTATTATTTACCTCTTAATTTTATTTTACTTTAAATTCTATAATTACTGTATTTGGCCCTTTTCCTCTAGTAGTAGAAGTGATGATCGTCTAGTTAATTAATTGATAATTTATATACCCAGGTTGTGATAATGTTAATAAAGGTAAACCAGGATTCGATGCAAAGTTTGGTGCAAATTGATAAATAAAACCATACAAATTTATATTTAAACTCTTTTATATTTCATACTTTAAATGTGATGCAATAATTTGCAAAGTATATTACAATTAATTTGTACTATTTACTGAGATGTCACTTGAGTCCTGTTCAAACACACACCACGTTCATTTGCTATCAAGATATATTTTATTTAGGTTGATGACCAACGGAGTTAATGAACAGCGTCAATTCGATAGTTGTTAAACTACTGTGTTGGTTGATGTTTATATTTTTATTTAGCTTGATTCTATTCCAGATATACACAGGTTGTACCCTCTTAGGTAATTATTTCGACGACGGAAGTAACAAACAGCGTCAATTCGCCAGTTGGTTACCTTACTATGTTGATTTCACATTTTGTTTCAAACCTAGTAGAATGAGTGGCTTAGTATAAGGTGTCCCCCTTGAGCTAACAAACAATGTATTCACCAGTTGGTTAACTTACTATTAAATTTTACTTAATGACTTAATACAACTCTGTATATTCCTAAATATTTATTTTTATAATTTATATTAAAATACTCAAATTCACCCATCGAAAAACAGATGTCTAACATAGCTGTCTTTCGGGGTGAATGCCCGAAAGCCATATGGTTTATAGATTACATTGATAATATTTTGAAGCAAATGTCAAGCCCTTATTCAAACGAAACCCCGGTGGTATCTGTTAAACTGTTTTTTGTGCTACTATTTGTTCAAGATATTTCTAGTAATAATCTATTATTTTCTTTTAACATCGTATTTTTATCTTCCATTTCCTCTACCAATCTTGTTAGCATTGTATTATGTAACTGCAATTTAGACAGCTCTCCATTTTTATTGGCTTCTTGATTAATAATTTTGTTCTTGCTTTCGCCATCTTTGTTTTTGCTTTCGCCATCTTTGTTTTCACAGCATATTATTCTGTTTTGATTTATCACTTTTATGGATTTGAAATCTCTTGTAAGACAGCTTGATGGTAACAATTTGAACATTTTTCACACGTAACTACTGATGGTTTATTAATGTTAGAGTCAAAGAAAACAAAAGACTACCATGAAGAAATGAATGGCCCTATGTTTGAAAATTGGAAAATTGCTTTCAGAACATTATAAAAAAATGTCCAGCCAACTCTGTTATTGTTTTGGATAATGGATCACAGTTGATTAAAGGAGTCACTACCTATAACAAGATGGAGAAAAGATCTAAATCCTTGAAGGCAGAATTACTTGTAATAGCAAGGCATTACAAAAACAAATTCAAAAAATATATTATAGACGAGATGGCCCGAGAAAAAAGAATTTAAATTCTTAGATTGCCTCCTTATCACGCAGAGTTAAATCCCATTGAACTGATCTGGTCACAATTAAAAGGTTATGTTTCTCGAAACAATATAATATTTAAATTATCTGATGTGCAAAATTTGTTTTTGAAGGCAGTTTTAGATGTAAATTGAGAACATTGGAGAAAATGAATTGATCATGTTAAACAGGTGGAAAATTCATTTTGGAAAGTGGATATAGCAATGGAAAACTTAATAGACTCTATAACAATAAACCTCAGAAAAGACAATGATAATGATACCATCAGTTATAGTGACGACATTGACTTTTAAAGATAGTTTACTGCACTCCTCTTTAATTCAAACTATAGAATATGCAGCGTTGTTGGCTTGGGCCAAAATGTAAATTTTAACTTCGTTATCCTATATCTATGCTTTAAAACCATTATTTAGCTACATTTTCAAAATCTGCAAGGCTGCTATTAGCTATTATTTATATGCAACGCTTTTTTTTCTAGTTCGTAAAGCAATCTGACAACGAAAAGCGCGCCCGCCTTCTGCAATTCGTCACCGGCACTTGCCGCGTACCAGTCGGCGGCTTCGCCGAACTCATGGGTTCCAACGGACCGCAACGCTTCTGCATCGAAAAGGTAGGCAAGGAATCGTGGCTGCCGCGCTCGCACACCTGCTTCAATCGACTGGACCTGCCGCCGTACAAGAGTTACGAGCAACTCGTCGAGAAACTCACGTACGCCATCGAGGAGACCGACACCTTCGGCCAGGAATGATCACCTTTAACTTGTAATTTATATATGTACCTGAATTCCGACATATAAGTCTCATTTTGATCTAAACGTTTGTGTTTTGGTGACGTTTGAGTTTAATCTTCGACGTTTCGTCGGTTGGTTTTTTGTTTGTTGCGCTACAGGGTTCATACAGAGACGAAGACTGGAAATTACGACATTTTGTGTTTTTTTTGATTTGGTTCAAGTTTGGAGAATCAATTGCTCGTAATAGGTAAAAAAAGGTTGATCATATCTTTAATCGTTGATGAAATATATATTGGTAAGCTCAGGGTGTTCAACATGTATGAAAGCAGTAAGCGAAATTGTAGAGTTAGATTTGTCTCTGTGAGAGGGATTCAAGATACAGATTGATTTAATATACAATTTGGATCAAATATTGTGCATTTATGAAAATTAAATTAATTTTAATAACAAGTTCGTTACAATTTAGGTATTTTTCTTAAATTGGAACATATTCAACCCAATTTGAACATAAATCTGCTGTCCTAAATAAAATAAAACCATATACGTTGAGTCTTTGATTCTTCTGACTCAAACCCTATACCATACCGGCATTTTATTTTAAACCCCAATTATTTTATACTGCATCGATCATAAGCATCGAATTTTTACTATGAGTGTTTTATTTGTTATGAAATACTCCTTTTTTTATTCCTCGTATCTATATTTTATTCACAGGAATAGAAAATATTATATAAACTGCAGTCGATAGCTTTAAAAACCCTAGTAGATTTGACAGTCTTGTCTTGTTCATAAGGGTAAGGATATAACCGGTGTTGTTCAGAGCAACTTTTGTCAAAGCGCATGACGTAAAAATGACACAGTTCACTTACGCGTGTTGAACTATCAACTGTCACTTAACCAAATAACGCAAATGTAATTATTGCAAACTCTAACAGACTTACGGTACGTTTGGAAACACCATGCATCTTTAGCATAAAATTTTGTCATTGTGCATTTTATTTGTACATTGTGCCATTTTTGTCACGTTTGTGCATCCACACTGGTTAGAACCTTACTGCGTTATATTTTTATCCTGTAGACTGATGAGACTAACGGGACTATTCAAGATATAAAGTTGTTTATTCTACGTAAATATATTTACAATTTTATTATGTAATTGTTAGAAATATTGTTTGTATGAACTCTGATGCACTTAATATTGAAAGTTCCATTGCTAATTGGAGAATACATGGTACTAATTTCAAATTTAAATAGTCGATGCTTGGCTTTTACTTTTGAGTGTTTTGTAACTTCTAACATAATTTAATGTTAAAATTGCTAATTTTATTGATTAGAGTATTTAGAACAGAGTTACAAAATATCGGAATTAGATTTTTAAAAAGTTTACCCGAGACTCTAATCGCGATCACTTACTAGTGACTTGCAATTTATTGGTTTAATATAAAATAGTTGTCCTGTCAGTCTGATATTTGAGATCATTTTTGGCAGCTATTTATTTTGTTTAATTTTTTGTATAATTGTGATACTCATTTTTCTGAAATAATTGCCACAAAAGCGCATTAAAAAAATAGTTTGGAGGACGAAACAAAAGACTGAATCGTTTATGACCAATAACCAGTTGTTAAATTAATTATAATGAAGTATTTTTGTAGTCGTATTTTTCGTTTCGGCGTTAAAATATAAATTATATTTTTGAAACAGAAGCTATATTATATATAAAAAATAATGTTGAATATTTATTAATCAAGACTGTTAATTTAAAAACAAAGAATTGTTACTGTAAACCATATAATTAATGTTCCAAAAAAATTTGGGAGACAGCAACTTTATAGTACGCAGTTTTGAATCTTCTAGTTCTCTTTAAACAAAAATTTTTCAATCATTTCCCTCTTAATTCTGAATGCTAAATAGTTTTGAACGATAAGATCAGCCTTACTCTACTTAGGTCCATATTTATAAACCGAATTCAACTGAGTTAGTTTTTAAAAAAATCTTGCCAACCAATTTAAAAAATTATCAATCCTTGTAAAAAAAAAAATCCCACAAAATTTTAAAATTTTTCTGCACGTATGGTTTCACTAAAAACAGTTTCTGATAAAACATTTAATTCTATAAAATTCAATTCAAAATAAAACATATTGTTATGTAAAAAGAAATTCTGGTAAAAAATAATATTCTAATAAAAAAATATAGAAAAGAAGTGAAATGTATACAAATTGAAATATTATTTACAAATAACACTACTATAACTAAATCAATAAAAACAGAAAAATTCTTTTTTCAAGACAAATACGCCATACTGCCAGAATTGTCAAATGTCAGATCACAGAAACGTCAATTTATCAAAATCAACCGTCACACTATGTGACTGAGCCGACTGTATAAAATATTTCCATTTTATAAGTTCATTTTAATTAAAATTGTTATTGCTTTGTAGTATAAATTCGCACTGCTTGGCAACACTGCTTTAACTAAAATCGAAGTTCCAGTGTAAAACTAAAACCATCTGGAACTCTAGAGCTGCTATAAATGAAATTCGATTTTTGTTCAAGGACGAACTCACTTGAGTTCGGTTTATAAGTATAAATATGGACCTTAGGCTTTTAGCCCATTGTGCTTCCTTCATTTTGTCCCGATACTTTAGGAGCTTATTACATTAATTGAATTAAAAAAAATAACAGTTTTTGTCTCTTTGACGCCATCAAGGTCATATTACCTGGCGATGAAAACTTCATCCATCATCATTGAAAGGATAGCTCACTAGGATTGAAATCAAGATGTAGCAACAGAAATTATATTACTGTTAACGCGATAGCAATCAAATCCTACAATGAACCATATAAATTAATGACACATCGTTTCCACTAAAATGTCATTAACTGAATCTTTAACCACTCAGATTACCTAGGCGATTTTTCTGATTTTTCAAGTTCATTTTTAATCCATACCTATGAGTGACACCAATACTTGACAATTTTGCAGGTGGACAGTGCAGCTACGACTGTCATCTGCTTTCAATTTTTTCCGATACATGTTCTGTCCATTATCATCTCTCAGAATAAAGTTTCTCTAAGGTTCATATTTCTTACACAGTGTCATCTGATGTCAATTTGTTCCGATACATCTTTTGTTCAATATCACGAATAAGAGTTTATTTCACATCATCTAAGAGTGTTACAAAGACTTGTCATTTTTGTAGATTGACATTGCAATTATGAATGTTTTCTGATGTCAATTTTTTCAATACATGTTCTATACAATATCATCTCTCACCTGGAATAAAGTTTCTTCTCTCAAGCTTATTTTTATTCCATATTGTCTAAGATTATTACGAAGATTTGTCATTTTTGCAAATTGATAGTGCAACTACGACTGTCATCTAGTGACAATTTGTTCTGATACATGTTCTGTCCAATATAATCTCTCACCTGGAATAAAGTTTTTCTAAAGTTCATTTGTATTCTAAATCGTCTATGTGTGACACCTTGACATTTTTGCGGATTGACAGTAAAATTTCTACTATCTTCTGTTGTCAATTTGTTTCGATACATGTTTTTTTTTATCCAATATCATTTCTCATCTGGAATAAAATTTCGTTCGTCACCTCTTGCCTTTTTAATTTCAATTCGTTGATATTAGGCTGGTTTTTGATGACAAACTTCGTCAAATGCTTCTTATAATTCTATAAAACACGCTCGTCTGTCTTGATTTATACCTAGACACCTCTGTGTTGTGACGATTTTAATAGTACCTATTTTTGTAAGGATCGTTTCTGTATTTACTTTTTCAAATATTTTGTATTACAGCCAAATATAATAATTTTCCATCATCTATTCTAATAAAAGTAAACGCTAAATAAATTTAAAAATACCAAAATGTCTGCTTTCTTTTCTAAAAATTCCCATGACAGGTATCTAAATTTTATCGTCTGTAAATAAACAAGTCCCCTATTTTTCCCAAAGCGCGATGTATATCAATTGAACTTGACGAATCAATCATGAATTTCCTTATGGTGAAAATGGTTTTACATTTGCGCTTAAGTTCGCGAAGTTTTATGTCATATATGCCAATTTAACAATATATTTAGTATTTAAGTTGGTACGTCTAAACTTCAAAATAAAATTGATTGAAAAAATAGTTTTATATAAATTAAATTAATTTTTTCTATTGATTTTTGGCTTTATATCTAACAATTTCTTCATGAAGTGAATTAATTCATGAAGAAATTTTCAGATGTAAAGCGCGCATAATAGATGAAAACAACTACTTTCCGAGATTAATTTTACTACAACAGACTCTCCAGTTAGCAATGCGATAATAACATTTTTTTATTTCTTCCACATAACAGCACTTATACACAAAGAATTAATATGCGTGACAATGTGGGTTCTCAGTAATAAAATATAAATTTTGTTTCCTCCCTAACTCAGTATTCACTTTTCCCAAGATGTTTAACTGTATTTACTTAAATGTGATATCTAGTATATATTGGCCTATTTTTGCTGTTAGACGTTATTCTTGATGTATATATTAACTTGTAGTTAATTTTAAAGAAATAGTGATTATTTTTGAAACTTAATCTATAATAATAAAAAAAAAAACGGAAACATTCCTGATTGATACTATTCAATTGTAATAAGAGATTAGTAAAGTGTAAAGGCCTCAGTGGAGAACCAAAGGTTTTATTCATTTTCTATTCCCCGTATTTATTTTATGAATTGGTATATACTGTATATTTTACTTTCATTGTATAGAATGTAAAGGTAAATAGTTGTAAATATCCTGACTGTATATATAGAACCTATAATAAATTATGATTTATTTCAAGAGGTTCTTTATTTTTATTTAATCACATTACTAAATAACATTGAGGTTTTTGCTACAAAAATGATTCAACTCAATTTTTGGGTAATTTGAGTTGAAATATATGTTATATGTAGAAAAAGTTGGATCGACTTCGATATGAAATGAAGAAATTGCACGCACTTATGTATCTGTCTCCTCAGTTGTTTCGTGCAAGAAGGATGGAGCACCAAAAGATCGTGTGTGTTCGTTGTGTTTCATGAGATGCAAGATATGTATTGCGCCAGCGACAGATTTGTTTCTACCTGTACTTGTTAGTTGCATTAGTGCTTTCCATGCGTTGTTATTGTAATCAGTTTTTCACGCGGTTTTTAAAATGAGAAACTAAGTCGGAGCCATATTTAGAGCTAGTGATTCACCATATAGTCGGGAGCTGATGGCGAATTTGCTGAAGGTATTTTAGTTAATTTGAAATTATAAAAAACAGTACTACATCGGTTAGTAAATCTGGAATCGAGAGTCAGGAATTGCAATTGCGGATATTTTGCTACTG